TGATTTCTCGTGGTCCCTTACTATTTTAAAGCAATTTTTCTTTTCCTGGTCGCTAATTGCAATCTTACCTTCTATAGCTGAAATTCTGTCCTCAATTGGCTCATTCTGCTGCGTAATCTTTCAATTTACTTTTTAATCTCCTGGAAATCTTTTTGCATCTGTTTTATGGATTCCATTTGTTTCCTATGTTGGGTTCCCATCATGTTCCTCAGCTCCTCTATTTTTTTAAATCTGTGTCCTCTCTAGCCTTTTTAATGATGTCTTGGACTATGGGCACAATCTCTGCTGTTATCTGGGAAATTATTTCTGATTTCATTTTTTCCAGATCCTCTTTTTTTTTTGCCAGTTCTGGGATTCCAGGTGGTTGGGTATCAGATTGTTCCATTTTGTTTCCCTTTGGAGTTGTTTAGGTGATCTGGAAGACTGGTTTTAAGACTTGTTTAAGTGTCTTCTCATTTCAACAAGGGGCAGGGGAGGAGATGTGTGCTGTTGGCGCCCTCGCAGCTCGCCTCCTAGGCTCTGGGGGTAGTGGTACGGCATCCCAGAAAGTTCACCTTCTCTGTGCTGGGGGCAGCTCTGCTCCTTGGTGCTGGGGGCGGTGGTCTGGCAGCCTGAAATGTTAACTCCTCTTTTCTTGGAGCCAGCTCTGCTCCTGTCACTGCACTGTCACTGACCAAGTTTGTAGCCCGTGGGAGAAGTAATCATTGCAGTGAGAAGGGCACACCATACTTCCCCCTGCAGTCCACTCTGGTGACCCAGGCATCCACACCTTGTCATTGCACATTTCCATGGCCTCCTCCTAACTTCCCCTCACCTCTCCCCAGCTCCCCACTCTGGCAGCTCGGGGCGACTTAATCTCTGCACTGTCAGCCCATTTGCACTGTGGTTATTTATTTAGTCCTAGCTCCATAGCTCTTTGGAAGATCAACGAGGACAAAGTGGCCATCCTCTACTTTCACACCTGACTTGCTTTATCTAAAAAAGGTAACCAGAATACCAAGGAGTAGCTTGAGTTCTAGGATATTCAAGTAAGAAGCATCTGCAGCAAATCTAAATTCTAGAACCAAGGAAACAGTATAACCCAATTGTTGGCTGCAATCCCACCCTGCTACAGTATTTAAATTTTAGTATGGCCTTACTCATGAGGCCATAAAGTATTGCAGAGGTAATGTTGTTTCAGTTTTACTTTCTCCTTTAAATGGGTTTTTCTCTGAATGTGCTGAGTATTAAGATATATCATCTCTTGCTGTATTTGGGGATGGGGCTGTATGGATAGTTGAGAAAGTGAATTGGATAAATGAAGTAGGTGTCTTTTTCATATGGTCAGTAAAAGCCATGATGATAATTTCATGACTCTCACTAGTAAAAAAATTTGAGAGTTTGAATGATTTTTCTAAAAGAATAAAATGGGAAGGGGCCTGGGATTTAGCTCAGTGGTTCTGCCACCTGCCTTGCAAGGCCAAGGTCCTGAGTTCAATCCCTGGTACAAAAAAAAAGAGTAAAATGGTAAAAGCCTATTATTGTTGTTTGAATTAACAAATTTTTCAGTCTGTTGAATGTTTAGACCATTTATGAGTGTTATGATTTGTATTGGTATGCTTAGGTAAAATAACAGCATGGTAATATACGCTATTAACACGTGATGAATCACTCAATAAGTCAGTCAATAGCATGTGTGTACCAAATAAAGCAAGAATTTGTCCTATATATTATTTCAGTGAAGTCAATGAAAAATAAGTCATTTTTCTCACAATCACTTTTACATTTTTGAAAAGATGACATTTCTCTCCCAAACTAAGCAGCTATAGGTTTTTAAAAAGCACTCATTTTGGTATTTGGGATGTGGGAAGAAGATATTTTGTAGCAACGAAGTCATGGAAGGTTTTACTCTTTCATGTTAATGTGTAGCATCATAAAGTCTGAAAAAAAGTAATATTTACTCTTTTTTTGGTACCAGGGATTGAACTTGGGACTTTGCGCTTGCAAGGCAGGTGGTGGAACCACTGAGCTAAATCCCCAGCCCTGTAATATTTACTTTTAACAGAATCCTTCATTTTCAACTTTTATAGTTGAGGGCCAGGAAAGTTCTCAGAAAGTTGTATTTTATTATCTATCTTTTTATTGTCGTTTGAGTATAAATTCAATGAGGGTTTCAATTTTGGTTTCTTCCTTTCCTAGCTCTGTGATGTAACCATGTATCTTCATTTTTCTCATCAGTGAAATGGGACTATTGCATTGCTTACCTTGTAGTGGTTGTGTGTGTGTGTGGGGGGGCGGGGAATGAGAGAAGAGATAATTAAATAAAATTGTGCATTAAATAGCAGCATAAGAAAAATAACAATGCAGTTAATATTTACTAAGTCAACACATTATGTCTCGTCTTACTGTTTCCTTGTTGAAATCTGTTTCAAGACAATTTTGCCCCAAATTTAGAGGGAGATCATTCTAAAAATAGATTTAAGTGACATATCATTATTTATAAGAATAGGGTTTAAAACCAGTTTATATGTGTAAAAATAGTAGTATCCCAAGTGTATGAAGAAAGAGATATCTTTTATTTTCTGTTTTGCTTTCATTTTGAGGAAGTATCTGCAGTTATGTATTGATGGTATCCAAAATGAGATTGCCCTGCATTCTTTTCTAGAAACTCTTAGATTTTTTTTTTTCTTTTGAGATAAGGACTCACTATGTAGCCCAGGCTGGCCTCGGACTTGGGATCCTCCTGCCTCAGCCTTCTGAGTGCTGGGTTTACAGGTTTGTGCCACCACACTGGGCTTAGGAAGTCTTAGATTTTAAAGGCTATTTTGTGCTGTCACTGATTTTTGAAAATGCCTAATCTGTCTTCTTTTCTCAAGTAAGCACTATACACAGAGGAAGTGGTTGTGGCTGGAGGGACTCTTTCAGAATGTTTTGGGTTGGCTGATTTTGATGTCCTCAGCTGCTACAATTGCTCCTGCCCACTCTGCTCCAGCTGCTGTTGTCATCAGCATCTTGGCAGGGAGGGCAGATGGCCCAGTTGCCTTAGGACAGGACTAAAAGTTAGAAATCTGTGGTTTCAGCTCTGTATCCTGGCTGGTTGGAAGTTGAGGAGCAACTCAAATTTTCCTCTCATTTTCTTCCTGTGTTAAGAGAAGCAAGGGCATGTGATTTCCTCCCTAGATCGAGTGTGAGCCTTCCTTCTAGATATTAGTGAGAAGTTATTTAGAAAGAGTGTTAAGTAACATAAAGCTCCTGTCTGTATTAACTCAAAGGTAGTTTTTCTCTGCTTAACATCAGAAAATCTAATTGGGTGTCAGAATTGACTGTCAGTATCTGGAATATGTTGCCATGAACTTGAACTGAGGTTACTGTTGATCACTGAAGATTACATTGTAATGCATGTTTCCGTCTTCCCCTCCCCCATTTTATTATTTCTGTTCAGACTTCAGGCACGCATAGCTCATAGGATACAAGAACTGGAAAATCTACCTGGCTCTTTGCCACCAGATTTACGAACCAAAGCGACCGTGGAACTGAAAGCACTTCGGTTACTCAATTTCCAGCGTCAGGTAATACCTTTTCCCCAGTGAGTCTGAGATATAGGAAATAAGTGTAATTGTTCCTAAAGTGTTATCTGTGACTTTCCTTTAGCCTATTCAATACTGCTATAAAGGTATAAACTTAGTAAAATAGTGTATCTTTTAGATCAACAGTAGAGAGTTAAAAGTAATTAAGATGAACTGCTTATTATGCTTTTCGTCTTCTGTATATCAGAAACATTTTTTCTCCTATATTCTGATTTATCAAATCAGAGTGATGGCATTTTGTTCCTGTGGGTGCAAAGCCTGGAGAATAGTTGGGGACAGCTCCTCTTTGCCTTTATGACTCCAAGGGAAAACAAGCAGGTGATAGATCAGAGTTTCTTGGTAAGCACAAGTGTAAAATGCTAGCCATGACTGTGAGAATAATTTTAACAAGTGTAATAGCTCCTCTATGGAATTAATGGCTCAACATTTCCAGAGATTCTTAAAACAATGTCTTGTAACTTGATTATATATCAGAACCTAACTTTGGGGCATTTCACCATATATTGACTAATCTGTGAGTTATTATCTGGCCTTGTTATGGTGCTTGGCAGTCACTTATTAAGAGCCAGTATAATAATCTATTTTCTCATTTCTCAATCGGTAGGAAATGAATGGAATGAGGCAGAAGTAATTTTCCCTTTTCTAGTTTTGCTGTATAGATTTGAAAGGTGCAGTTCTCCCAGTCCACAGCTTGCCTTAGTAAGCCAAGGGGGATAAAGACCATTTCATTGTCAGTCAGATGGGTTTGTTTGGTTAAAGTCTGGAGCATCCAAAAGGAATTTTTAATGAATAAATATAGTTTCCAAGTACTGAGTTGTATGATTTGCTCTGTTGGAGGATGCAGCTAAAATCACAAGGCCACCACCTGCTGTCGTCATGTGAGCTTGGGGATACATTTTGACTCATTGATGTCATATCACAGAGGGCATCTGTGGTGGCTGGGTGCTACTTGGCTATAGATTTGTGAGTGTGGGCTTCAGATTAAATTTTAAAAGGAAAAAGAAAAGTTCCTCAGGTTCCATTTACTTCTTTCTTATAGTAACTTAATGTGAATCAGTAGAGTTTGATGATGTTTTGTTAAATGAATATTAGTGAAGTATATGTTCAGGAATGAGCTTATATTCAAATTAGCTTCAGGATGCTGGTCTCTGATTTTTATTGGATGTAATTGAAAATCTATTATCTATGAAGTTTCCTCATTGTATTAATTATAATTGATGTTGACTTCAGATTTAATTGAATGATTATTGTGATGTGTGCTCAAGCCCCCACCCCCTACCACCAGATAGCATGCCATATGGATAAAATATTCTATTGATGATAATCTAAGACAAGTCCATGATATAATTATAAAATTTAAGTGTTTTTCAAAGACTATTATTGTTAAAGTGGGAGGAAACCAAAACCAGTATTTTCCATCATTTATTTGCGGTTATGAATTCATGTTGTTTGAGTACCTGGTGCTACTGTACTACATGAATAGAAAGTAACTCTTACTCATTTTGCAGATCATTATTAAAGGTAATCTTTAAACATGAGTAAATGTTAGTATGGCCTATAGAATGAAGTAAAAAATTGTAAAAGCTTATTAATAAATTAATGTCATTAGAATAATTAAGCAGAATGAATTAATGTGTTAAGGACATCATCCACATTGTTTCTTTTTACTGTTACAGTACGATAATTATTTTTGGTTTTAATTTTTTGGAAAGCAAGTGTATGTACCATCCTTGAGAATAGCATGTGAATTTGTCATGAGCCTAGTTCATTTAATGAAAGGCAGTGACTGTGAAACTTATGTGGAGTCCCATTCTGCTCCATCAATAGAAACAAGCCAAGGTCAGGGTCAGGAATCCGAGCTCTACTTGGAGGCTGTCTAACCACTCTTCTCTTGGCAGCTGAGACAGGAGGTGGTGGCCTGCATGCGCCGGGACACCACCCTCGAGACAGCCCTCAACTCCAAAGCCTACAAACGGAGCAAGCGGCAGACTCTGCGAGAAGCACGCATGACTGAGAAGCTGGAGAAGCAGCAGAAGATTGAGCAGGAGCGAAAGCGCCGGCAGAAACACCAGGTCTTTAGATTTTGGGCTTTCCTCGCCCTTTCTTGCACAGAAATGTCCAGTGGGGCCATTAGACACGGTCAGAGCAACTGCAAACAGGGTGCCCTTGTGGGTGGTGGGGACATCACAGAACAGAAAGATTTCTCGGGGTTTACGTAGCCCAGCCACATCATTTTATAGACAGAGACACTTAGACTAAGACAGATAAGTGATAAATGGGTGACCTGCCCAAGGTTACAACTGGTCAGTAGTGGGATGAGATTTAGGAGTCAACTTCCTTAAATGGCTGTCAAGTATTGTCACCTGAGGCTGTGGTAACAAAAAACCCAAAGACTGCATGGCTTATAAACAACATGAATTTATTTGTCATAGTTCTGAACGCTGGAAGTCCAAGATTAGCATGGCAGAATGGTAAGGTTCTGGTGAGGGCCCTCTTCCAGGTGGCAAACTGACAAATTTTGTCTGCAGGTGGAAGGAAGAGAGGAAAAAAGTCCTCCAAATCCCTGTATAAGGGGACTAATCCCATTCATAAGGGGCCCTCTTCCTAATACCGTATCTTCTGAGGTTAGGATTCTAGCAGGTGAATTTGGACGGGGCACAGACTATAACACATGTCAAATGGAAAGGTGCTAATGAGTGGGCATGGGTGGGTTTGCTAGAGCAAAAGCCTGGAAGAAACAGCTTGGAAAAAGAAAGACTAGGAAGTTATCTTTATCACAAATACGAGTCTGGTTTCCTGGACTCTTTAAAGTGACCAGTTGGAAGTTTCACAGGACAAATATTTAAAAACATTCCTTTTAGGGGGAGTTAGAAATATTTTTATGTAGGATTTGATTCAGGGTGATTTTCTTAGAAATTTCATTTGTTTTTTTGTGCTTAAGTTAGTCTTAGTTTCCTTCTGAAAATAGTAGTGGATTTTAGTGTAAACAGGGTACGTGTTTCTGCTTCTTTATTTAAAAAGTGAATGCAGCTTAATGTATGGCAATGTTAGCTTTGTATAAAGTTACTTTGCATCACAGTTCTGAAGTAATTAAATAAGAGTAGAAGAAACATTACTTTTTGGAGGGGGGGGGGTGCCAGGGATCAAACTCAGGACCTTGCGCTTGCAAGGCAGGCGGCGGCACCACTGAGCTAAATCCCCAGCCCAAAACATTACTTTTATAACTTGAAATACCTGAGACCCTCAGGATTATTTTAGGGTGACCAGGGACTTTATGTTTTGTCATTGCCATTTTCTGAGTCTCCCTCGGCCTTTGATCTTTCCATTCTCAAGCAGCCGTGCCCTCCAAGTGGAGGTGGCTTCTCTTGCATAGTGCTGCGACATCCTAGATGTGGGAGAGCCTCCTTCCCATGATCCCCTAGCCCGCATCTCATCCACAGAGGCACACGAGGAAGCCCATTCCAAAAAGAGTCTAGTCTTTGAATTGCATCACTTAGATACTGAGAGTCACCTTGGCCTACGTTGATACCTCATAAAACAGTGAAAAATGGATCTTAAGTCTCCCTTTTCTTCTTTGTCAATCAATTCTTTAGGAATACCTGAATAGTATTTTGCAACATGCAAAAGATTTTAAGGAATACCATCGATCCGTGGCTGGGAAGATCCAGAAACTTTCCAAAGCAGTGGCAACCTGGCATGCCAATACTGAAAGGGAGCAGAAGAAGGAGACAGAGCGGATTGAGAAGGAGAGAATGCGGAGACTAATGGTAAGAGCCCACTGCAGAAGGCCGAGAAGGCCCTCAGCTCACATCCCTCTGTACTGAGAATGTGAAATAGGGCAGGAAGAGGGGAAAATGAAAGCTGTGTATCAGACCTCTTAATATGTTTCTTTGAATGTGCGGAGAATAGTATCAGGACCATTTTCTCTTTCCTTGACAATGCATGCCACAAATTCAGGGCCACTCCTGATGAATATAGTATTTCTGTGTCCTGTCATACCATTGCTGTACAGATGGTGGCTTCTTGAAAACAGGCAGGTGCTGTACTTTGCAGAGGATTGATAAAAAGATCTCGAAGAATGGCAAATTCAGATATTTTTAAAATATGACCTCTTAGAGATTAATGTCCAAGTTATTTTGAGTAAATAATTAGTGTGTGTTTGATTCTAACAGGGCCTAAGAGTTTTTGTTTGTTTGTTTCTTACAGTACTAGGGATGAAACCCAGGGCCTTGTGCGTGCTAGGCTCTGAACTACATCCTCAACCCTTTTTAAAAAATTTTATTTTCAGGGCTGGAGATTTAGCTCAGTGGTGCCTTGCCTGCCTTGCAAGTTTGATCTCCTTGCCTGCCTGAGTTCCATCCCCAGTACCCAGAAAAAAAAATATTTATTATTTTCAGACAGGGTCTTGCTAATCCTTGGCTGGGATTATAGGTGTGTGTCACTGCCTCTTAATATTCTGTTCTGATTTTTGGTCTTTTTGGTGCTGGGATTGAACCTAAGGCTTTGCATATGCCAGGCAAGTGCTTTATTGCTGAGCTCCATCCTCAACCCGTGGTTCTCTTCTTTTGAAACCTCTGGTGCTTATCTTTTTTGTTAAATGGTGGAAATTACGCTTTAATGTTGTAAAAGTGATTTTAGGTTGATTTTGAAATGTGCTTTTTTATGGTAGCTGTGTTATTCTTAAGGGCTATTGTTGGATTGTTACATTTGCACAGTTAGGTTTTAGTGGATGTATAAAACACAGAAGGGCTAGGTTTATATCACTTGCCTGAGTATTTGGTTTTATTGACCATTTGTTTTTTAAATTGGCCAAAACACACAGTAGATTTTAGAAAACAGTAGGCAATTTGTAATGATGAGAGTAGGAGACCTGTAGACGGATATGGGACATAATGGCTGAGTGGGTGAAGATAAAGTCTCAGTCTGTAATTATGTCCTTAGAAAATTCTAAGTGACTCTGTCTTCCTTGCATTATAATTAGCATTTTACTTTTATTATTATTATTTTTTATTCTAGAGAGTAAGAAGCATTTTTTAAAAGGCTCTGGTTCCAGATATTCTTAAATCTCACCATTTTAACCTGGTTCTCTCTCCATTTTTGGGAGGGAGAGAACTGTCCACGAGATTTCTCACTAGTGAGGGAGGAGACCATTTTATAGTAATCGGAACCGTCAGCAGCTACATTTGTCTGATTCAACTGAAGTGAAACTATATTAGAACTTCAGTAACAGATTGGTTTAACACTAATGATTAGGCATTTGCAAATCATTAATTTTTGCAATTAAATGATGGAATATACAGATAATAGAGAAACTGAAGGGTTTTTTTTTTTTATCACTCTTTCTTCAAGTGAGATCAACCAGAACCAAAAGCAATTAGAGTTATAATAGCATTTGAGGTTCACGCTCATTCATGGGGCAGACAGCAGCCAGACTGAGTGATGAAGTCCCTGTCACTCGGCACATGCTGGAGTGACACCCGACAACTGAAGGCCCTGCGTTTTCTTGCGATGGAATTGCCTCTTAAAGATTTTGCAGCATGCACCTTTTATCCACGCATCACATGAGAAAAATATTTTGGAATGTCCTTTTAGTGGATGAATAAAAAAAGATTTTTCTTAAAATGGCTCAGAGTACATCACAGTTTTCTTCTGTTTAAGCTCATAATGTTTGTTGCTTAATGAGAGGTGCAGCTGGAAATGATTGCCTCTGTTTTATTAGTCAGCAGTATTAGACTTCAGGTGCTAAATAATGTGTCTCCAGCCCTCTAGGCCTGAAACTCAGGGCAGGTCCCTGAGAGGATCCCCCTCAACTTGACCTTTCCTATCAACCACATGTGTCTAATGCTAAAAAGAGAAAAGGGAAATGTTTCTAAGTAGAAGAAATTATTTCGTAAAAACATTCTCAGTTCCTTGTCCTACTGAAATATTGATGAGTGAAAGGATATGTTTTATTTGGAATTTGCTCCAGACAGTCTAATTTGGGCCTGGGGCAGGAGTTGGCAGAAGGGCAGTAATGCATCAGCACTCACCATGAGTTCATTTTCATTGCTTGATGTTGCTTATTTATGAGTGATTGTACCATTCTCTTTATTTTAGATTATACAGCATTTAAAATTTTCTGAAATACAGTTTAATGTTAAAAATAAGCTTCAGAGGTGTGATTGTCATATTTGAAGTTTTTTTTGTTTTGTGGGGTTTTTTTGGTACCAGGGATCGAACTTAGGACCTTGCGCTTACAAGGCAGGTGCAGTGCCACTGAGCTAAATCCCTAGCCCATATTTGAAGCTTTAAAGCAGTTCAAGAAATGAAGAACCAAGAGCTGCCTCAAGTGTGGGCCTTTGTGCTCTCACTCTGCCAGGAACCCTAGGGTCCCCAGTGGCAGTGTTGCACTTGTTTGTTTGCTCAGTCCCAGACTCCCTACAACGGCTTATACATCCTGGTTTGTCTGGTTTGCTCCACTCATCCCCAAACTTCAGACTGTCAAGTGAAGGGAAGAGTGTGCGATGGAGCTGTCTGCAAACGTGTAATGCTTTCATCCTTCTCTTTCTTCCTTAACAGGCTGAAGATGAAGAGGGCTACAGGAAACTGATCGATCAAAAGAAAGACAGGCGTTTAGCCTACCTTTTGCAGCAGACTGACGAGTATGTGGCCAATCTCACCAACTTGGTTTGGGAGCACAAGCAAGCCCAAGCGGCCAAAGAGAAAAAGAAGAGGAGGAGGAGGAAGAAGGTGAGCACTGTCTTGTTGGCAGCTGAGCCTGTGTTGCATAGGCAGAGACTAGTTTAAGTTTTGCACCTTTGTAAGTATTACTTCCTACACTAGTGGAAGGGTTAGATTCCTGAAGCAACAATTGCCTAAATTGGTATGGTATGAAAGTAGACAATGTGTTGGAGAGAAGAGTGTAATAGATAGGAATGTACACAACTGAAGCGATGCAGTCTGTCTTCTCACTGTTTGATACAGTATAATATTTTAAATCAAGTACACACCGTAGGCGAACTGGCCGAAGGCAAAACAAATATTTGGCTAAGTTTAATGACAGTGTGGCAGGGGACTACTGAGCTAAGAAGTGGCGAGGCTATAATTAAGGCAGTGCAGTATACAGGTAGGAATATGCCAAAAGAAGGTATGTAAAATAGTTTGGGGATACTTGTGGAACAAATTTTAGTCTGTTTGGACTGATGGTGTTGACAAATTGTTTATTCAGTTCATTTGCCCTGGGGTTGCAGTAAGGTAAATGTACATATAGATAAGGGTTTGAGATAGTTACAGAAAAAATACTCCTATGTGAAATATATCGTAATTATCATGAGAAATACAGGGTAAAATTTGGCATCTCTGCTTTGCAGGTATTATGTGCCAATTCAAGAGTGACTTGTTGAGGATAGATCTCTGTGTACAGATCCTCTTTGAAGCTTATGTAATCCAGTAATGTAGTTCTTGGCTGGTAGTCAGCCTTCTATATCTGCAGGGTAGATTCAACCCACCAAGGGTCGAAAATAATTTAGAAAAAAACTCCTCATTTATATTGAGAATGTAGACCTTTTTCTTTCCATTATTTCCTAAACAGTACAATATAACAGTGATTTACATAGCATTTGCATTATACAGTTATTCTAAGTAATCTAGAAATGATTTAAAGTCTGTGGGAGGATGTGCATAGTTTATAGGCCAGTGCCAGGCCACTTGATATAGGAAAGTTGAGCATCCTCAGATTTTGTTATCCACAGGGGTCCTAGATATAATCTTCCATGGATACTGTGGAACAAGTTTATTTTGTTTTCATGATAAATTCTGATTAGGCCAGGTACAAACATCAACAGAAAGTCTTCATCAGAATTGCAAAGACAGGTTTGGTGGCATTTAATCAGTTATTCTCTACAGTGAATAATTGAACAAAATGTTTTTCAAAAAATAATTAATTTCATGGCTCCTGAATTCTCATACCTGTTTCATAATTAAGGAGGAGGAATAAATTTCTGAGAAGGCACCTTCTTGCACCTGGTTCCTTTCGTGTAAGATAGCTTTCCTTATTGTGAAGATGAAGAGGATGACTCAGGGCTTGGATTTAGACATTTTGCTGGTAAGGAATAGCTCATTTTCTTGTCAGTGTAGGGTTATAGACTTTGCAAAATTCCAGCTCCTGATTTCTGACTTACAAAGACATTTTCAGAAGTAGGGAGGGACTCATGGGCAAACAGATGAAGTTCTGTAACACTCCTTTAGTGGACCCCGTTAAATGGCAGTTCTGGTTTTTCCAAATCTAGGGGTGTATTGGCAGAGGCTGACACTGTTGGTGTATTTGATAGTAAAGTACTTATTCTGTATTTCCTTGGGATTGAATGCTAATGGGCTAGATTTGAGCTTCTATTTTATAATTAATAGATTTCTGCTGTGGTATTTCAGATAGTTGTGTCACCGTAGGCAAAGACAGATAATTGAATGTTGATGATTACGCCTGTTTTTGTATTAATCTGTACAGAGCAGGGACTTTCACGGTGTTTCTCATGGTGGTACCTACTGTACAAGATCGATACGTTGACAAATTCTTCCATTCTTCCATCCTTCCAAATTCTTGCGTTCCAGTTTGCTAATAGCACTTAAATCTTCGTATTTTATACTTTTACTCAACAACTACTAGCTGTACATTTACTATGAGCCTGGGTAGTGTGCCAGAGAGAAAAAGTGAAATACAGCCAGCCATTAATCAGGCATGCGCACAAAGATATAATTACAAAAAGTGATGAATCTTGTGAAGGAAAACTGGGAGTCAAACTGGAAGTAGAGTCCCAGTTCCTGGCAAATGAATAATACTAGCTACCAAAGCGGTGACGATCTGCCTTGTGGAGATCTCTGATTATCTCCTGTTGATCATTTCATATAATCGTTGTGAAGAATTTTTACTTTATCCCCAGCCACTAACCTCCTCCTTCACATTCTCTCAGGATGCCTACCTAGCATTCCAGCATTGTTACCCTTAGTAGCATAAGGAGGAGGGATTGTGTTTCCTTCCTGGACTACTGCCAGGAGAAGTGGGATTTAGAAAGCATTGGGGGAGAAACCAAGGCTCTTCTTAACTCTTCCTGGACCCTGTCTCATTCATTGGGCTTTAAGACTTAGTTCAAAATGAATTACCTAGGTCCAGATGTACCTTTATTCAAGTTCAAAGGAAAGGGATTCTTTGAAAAGCCGATTATTTCACACTGGATTATCTGTAGTTCTTCTCTCCTCCATTAGAGTGAATGATTGACAGTCACTTGTTCCAGCTTCTTTGTGGTGGAAGAGACTTCAGCATCCGTAAACTACAGAGTTCCGTACTCTTCTTTTCAGCAGTCTCCCACAGTATTAAATATTGTGCTGTACCTGTCCACATTTTTAAAAACCAGACATTAGTACTCCTTTATTTTGAGAGGCCCTGCATTACTCAGTGGGTTGATAACCCTGAGCTGGTCATAACACTTAAAAGCCGGTAAGATACACACAGCTCAGAAAACTGTGCCATTAAAGATGAGTAAGGTTGATCTTGAAATTTAATTGAATGAGAATATGGTTTTTTACAATAAAATTTCTCAGTATAACAGAGAAAGCCTTTGTCTTTCTTAGGGAATTTGTTGCGTCCACTGTTGCTTGTGAATAATGGGGTGGGTTTCCCGTAACCTGTCATGACCTTGTTTAATTTTCTCTTCTGCTCTTTAGGGCTTTTCTATGCAAAATATATATATATACATATATATATTTGTTTTGTTTTGTTTTGTTTTCCTGGTACCGGGGATCGAACTCAGGTCCTTGCGCTTGCGAAGCAGGCGGCGGAACCACTGAGCTAAATCCCTGGCCCCATATGCAGTATATATTTATAAACCATTTTGAAGCTTCTCGTTCTCAGCCTGTTTTCCATTGCTGTCCTTGAAGTGGAAGAAAAAGAAGAAAACTGTATGGATCTACTTAAGGGTCAGAAGAGGGATGATTTTTAGAGTATTGAAATAACAAATTATGTGAAACCAATCCCAGAGGTGTTTTAGGATGAATGTGCTGTATTTTGTGCATTTAGTATCACTGTAAGGTGTCTGTTCTCTGCCACGGCTATTCTTTAACATCCACAGGTGACTATGCTATAAAAAGAGGCTTGAGTTGGAAGTATAGGAATATGCAAATAGAATTGAACAGTTCTACATTAGTAAATTGGATCACTGTCCACATCATGTTAGCATATAGTCTTTAAACTGACCACTGGATAAGAAAACTTACGCATACTGATTTACTATTATTATCTTGTTGAATATTTTATTAAAAGATCTATTACATTGTGCTTCAGTCTCTAGGTCCTTTGAGCAAGTGATAGGAAAACTTGCATACCATATAGATTTGTTGTGAGGCTTACATGGGAAAGTTTTTCTATTTAGAACATTCCTTGAAACACATAAGTTTTCAAAAAATATTAGTTATTATGTCAAGCAGTAAAAGTGAAATCATGATTGTTGAAATGTTTTTTAAATAAAGATAAAAACTTTTTTTTACCTTGATTTCATATGCTTTGTGATGTTGAATAAATAGTCACCATTTTGTCCTAATTGAGGATCAACTGAGTATTAGTGGGAAGATGTCTTTTAGGTCCATGACGGATTCTTTGATTATTGGGGCATACAGAAGAAAAAAGAGGATTTTAAAATTTTTGGTAGGCTCTGCTTACTACTGAGTTCAACTCCTACGAAGAGAATTTTCTAAGTCCATGGCCTCTAATTTTGAATGATTTCCGGTGATAATAAGGTATTTCTCATAGTGCTGTAGGGAACATTTTTGCTTATGCTGTGGTTAAGATCTCATGCCAGAGATACCCCTACCTACTGCTTAGAAGTCTAGCCATTTCTGGGGTTTTGCTTCTGGTGCTGCTTGCCATGAAGCCAAAAATAAATATGTAATTCTCCCTTCTGCATCTTTCAGTGGGAGGTATACCAGCAGAACTATGTTCATGTCATTTATTTATGACATTTCTTAAAAATCTATGGTACTAATGGGCATGCTCACAGAATTCAGTAATTCTCTAATAATTCAGTAATGTGCTAGATAGCTCTTAGCTCTTTCATTCCATGTTTTGTTTTTCTAAAAGATCTTTTATTCACTCTCATTCATTTTCATTCTCTCTCTCTCCCTCTCTCCTCTCTCTCATCTCTCTCCTCTCCATCCACTATTATAAGGAAAACTCAGGACTGTTGTGCATTGGAGGGGAATCTTCCTGCCATGATGTATTGTTCAGTATAGTGACAAGAAATGCATTTTCTTAACCTTTTTAGACATCAAAAAAAATCTGAGAAATCTGACTGGGATAGTTTTCAGTAAAAAGAACATCAGATACAAAATCATAATTGTTGAGATATTTGTTTTAAATTTAGGTTACTTGCTGGTTCTTCTCAATTTTTGCATCTCTTATGTTTCCCCCAAAATCATACAGTTTATTGCATCTTTCCCTTGCAAGATTTTCATAGGTGAAAGAAAGGTTCTAAGGCAGTTCTGCACATTTTTTGTAAGACTATTGTAAGACTAAGAGAACACAATGCCACGATGATTAGATTCATTTTATTACTTCATTGTCAAAATGGGCGAAACCAGCAGTTTGGATCAGTCTTGTTTAACTGGATTGACCAGTTACCTGAGTCAAAATGTTCAAATTGGTTTTCTCTTTAAGATACAACCCCAGTAATGTGCAAATGCTTGTTAATTTGATATTCCTAGGCATTTTTCATTGCCTTATCACCTATCTGAATGCTCAAAGGCCCACTTAAATGGCTGTAAAAATAACCCCAAGATTCCTGAAAACTTAGGTTTCCAGTGAAGCAGAATGAGTCCTTAAGATGCCAGCACCATTGAATTTTGCTTCAGCATATTATCATGGTACCTGCTGGGGGATAAAATGCATTTACTTTATAATATAGACTGTAAAACATTTGACATAAAACTCTTTCTTTACAAAATGAGGCTTTTCCTAGCCCGTGTTGTAGTAATCTAAATAAAGTCTGTTTTCTTAAATTCCGTGTATATAGGATTTTTACATTTAGAGATTCCAGTCCTTCTATAGCCCAATTGTTTATTATTTTATATTCTTTCTGTAAGAAAGGTGAGTAGCCTGCACACAGCCTTGTTTATGAACATTCCTAAATAGAGGATTTCAATTGACATTGACCTTGATAACAGGGAACCCAAATTGCCTTTAGCTTGAGTAATTTTTAGTAATGAGTAATTTTTAGTTACCAGTAATTTGTGTAATACAGCTCCCCTTATGTGACTAGCTTAATTATACTCTTCCCTCCCTACATAGGCATAATTAATTCTAAACTTTTTGTAGGTAGGAAAAGCCAGTGCAGAATTTCTTCAGTCTTGATTAATGAATGAACTGCAGTTTCTTGTTTTGGTTTTTTAATCAATGGATGTAAGTTCAGGCATCAGCCAGTCATATTGAGTGTATGTTTGGTATTCCATGATGCAGTTAACTGTGTATGAAAATTCCTCAGGTGGCGGGAAGCACTGCGGCAGCTGTTGCATTAGTACCAGATTATCTCACCAGGTGCTCACCCTGTCCAAAGGTAGCTCAGAAAGTGGCACCCATTGCAACCTCTGGGTTGCAACTGAATAAGGGAGGAGTTTTGGCTTTGAGCTGTTTTCCCTTGCTTTTTGTTTTGAGATACAACATCAGTTTGATGTGAGAACACAGACGTACAAAAGCACATCAAGCAGACATCACCACCAAGCTGAAAGAATCCAAAGCATGATGAGCGAAGTGGCCGTCCTCTGCAGTCCAGCCCATTGCCACCTGGTTTCCACCTCTTATAACAGTGTAGCAGAATTGGGCTGAAGAACAGGGTATGTGTGCGAGAGGTCACACTGAACCCCAGTTCAATGACAAATTGTATGTATGTGTTCTTAACTGTTTTAGGACTTTCCAATGTGCAGGCACCTAAATACAATAATGATTCAGTGAATATATGCTAAGCAAAAGACATTGTTTTTGGTGCTTTCATTCATTCTTTCATTTACCAAATATTTACTTAGTAACTTTTAAGTGCTAGACATGCCTATGGAGGTGAAACTGCTGCAAGGAGCTAAAGAAACAGAAATTGCTAACCTTGTAGCCCTGTGAAGTAATTTTCAGACAATGTTATAGCCAGGTTTCTCTCTCTCTCTTTTTTTTTTGAGACATAGTCACACTAAACTGCCCAGGCTGGCCTTGATTTTATGATTCTCCTGACTCAGCCTTCTGAGTAGGTGGGATTACAGGCACGTGCCACCACACCATGAAGACTAGTTATAGCCAGTCTTAATTACAGACATGAAAGAATAGCCCTGGACTGCCATTCTTTCATGTGAAGATTGACAGTTTGGTGTAAATTACATAGAACATTTCATTAACATATTTCAACAGTGATCTCCTGCAGCAGCCCCGGGTCTGTCACTGTCCCTATTTTACAGAGGAGGGGATCTGGACCTAAAGAGAGACAGATTTAAGATCGGGCCAGGGATTTAGCTCAGTGGTTCTGGCGCCTGCCCTGCAAGCACAAGGTCTCAAGTTCAATCTCCAGTACCAAAAAAGATTATACCGTTCAGGTCTCTTATATTCAGTCACAGAGCTGGGAATAACGCTCAGATTGCCTAATTCCAGAAATGAGAGGCTTAAGTCGTTATATAATGCTTTGCTTTTTGAATTCAATATCTAATAGAATAAAAAAATAATTTAGGGGACTTTAATGAAAGGGCCTGATTCTGAGGCAGTTTTTAGATAACACTCTGGCTAGCCTGCAGTATATTTCAGAGGAAACTCTCCTTTAGAAAAGTTTGATTCTCTTCATTTATGGTGCTTCAAGCTTTTTAATGTGCTATTCATTGAAATGGTGATCCAGCTCTACTCGCTAGATATTTGAAATTGGCTTTTTCATTGTCTCATTTGATTTTCTTTGTTGGCCAAATTTGTAGCTTATTTCTGGTTTGTATGGAAAGAACAGTGGGATTAATTGACTTCCTTCCATTAATTGTAAGCATCCCCTGAGTATTGTGCCTGAGAATTCCGAAAGTGGAACCTCTAGTATCTGACAGCGGTGATGGCTTCCCTTCTGAACCGAGGGGTTCTGCCACCATTGGCTATATCCCCGGCCCAGACAACGAGCCTGGTTTGATTCACAGCCATCACTCCTCTTGAGCTTGTAAATATTTTCACTTCAGAGTGGCACAAGCAGAAAATTACATTCTTGGACAGTCACAACCAAATGGAGTATTTTGTTTCCTACTTTTTGGTAGACTCTACATTGTTTTTATGCCTCATGCCTTGGCATGTGTACAGATATATTCGTAAGAAAAATTACATTATAATATATAGAACTTTGAAGATTTCAAACATTCATGGTCCTGCTTTTCTTCAGTATGGAAGAAAGATTAGTCTTTGTTTGATGTGGTGCTCCTTATGGAACTCAGTCCCTCAGACATATGAGGCAAGCATTCTACCACTGAGCTACACCCCCAACAAAAAGGCTAGATTTATAATATTAAACATTTTCATAAAAGTTGTTTTACCAAGATGCTGTTGAGTTATTTTTATGGAAGACAAAACTGTATTAATAGAATCATGTTTTAAGTAAACAAAGTTAATATTGGTTCCACATCATTATATGTGTGTATATACATGTATGTATCTATGTATATTTTAATTAACTAAAGAGCCCAAGGGAGAACAGATCATTTTCTTAAATATCTTGATAAAGGAAATGACTGAAAATTTTCCTCTCATCATATTACGTAGAAATAGGATAGCATTTTAGTAACAACTTTAAAGATTCTGTAAAAGTGGTATAAAATACTTTGCTTGTCAAAGAGGTCATTATAAATGGAAGAAATTTTTTAGACTATTTGATATATATTACATTTGAGATTTTCGTGGGTCTGTACAAAATGCGCCATACTCCTGGCTTCTCATTTAGTTGTCTTTAAGGCACATGGAGGTTAATGGACTAAGATACTGGAATATTTACAGAATGGTAGATGACAGACTTTTTCATGGGATTACAGTGTCTGCATCCAATTTCCTCATATTCACATTGTGGAAATACTATATATTATGAAAGCCAATTATGTTGAATGAAAAATACCCAGGGAACTCACCGAATTTTGTATTATTATTATTATTTTTTTATGACCCAGGAGCGGTTCAGAGCTTATTCTTGATGGATATTTTTAGAATGTTGTTTTTCATTGCTGACGAAAACTTGCTTAGGGAATAGGAAAGTTGAGCTAATTATGTTAGGATTTGTCTTCACAGTGCCAAACACGAGAAAAAAATGCTTCAGATTCTGACTGCTCTCTCCAGGCTGCCATGTCTTATGCTCTTTGGGTCCCTAAAGATACAATCCACAAATCTCTAGTGTGCTGGCCTTGAATCACATCTGGCTTTAAATGACTCTTTGCAAGTTGGTAATACAATACATGCTTTGTCCCAGGTTACAAGGAGAAATAAAAATGGAAGGCATTAACGCTTAAGCTTTCCTACAGGGTGATGGGCCATAATGAAATGTTCCATACCGGAGTTCCATGAAGTCCTGTCCCTTCCTCTTGATTTACCCTAATGTTTCATGTTACTGTTTTGCAGAAAGCTGAAGAGAATGCAGAGGGAGGGGAGTCTGCCCTAGGACCGGATGGAGAGGTAAGGGAGGAGGCACCCCTTTTTACTATAGTCTACTGAGTGGGGTCCCGAACATACCCTGCAGCACCGTTCTCTGTAAACTAATTTTATTTTTATTAACTAATCATTTTAAAGTAAAAACAGTAGTATATTACATCATAGAAATTAAAATAGCATAAAAGACTCCGAAAATTAATCTATTTTCATTACCAATCAAGTGATACCAAGTTTCTTACATAACATTCCAGAATTTTCTGTACACAGATAGGTCTATATATGAATAGATAAAATGTGTAAGAATCTTAAGTGATTATATATTCCCAGTAAATGGTACAGAAGTATAAAATGTGACCCACTTTTCCTAGTTTATTACTAATTTGAAATGTATAAAAATAAACAGTTTATATATTTGGGGTATTTTTTTTTTATAATCCTATAAGCTTCCAATATAGCTTTCCATGTAGACACGTGAGCATAGTCCTAAATTTTATTTCCCAGTATTTACAATGTTCTTCTGAATCACGAGGATGTATTTATTTATTTATTGGATTTTTTTTTTTTTTTTCTGAAAAACTCAAGGATCTCTGCCAGTGATTCACAGTGTGGAAGCATGTGCCCAGCCCAGGGTCGGGAGAGCACTGGCTTCAGACCACCTTTATCTCTCACAGATTCCGATAAACTTGCTCGGAGGATGGGGTGGTGGGGGTAGCCCATTTCCATCCTAGATTCACTCTGCACGTGAGTCCTGTTGTAAGCTCGCACAGCCTTGGTGCAGGATAAAGGTTGAAGCACTCTTCTATGCAGAAACCTCTTGAAAATAAATGTCGCCTAACTACTATAATCCATCACAAGGAAAGCAAGGATCAGGATAAATGTCTAATGTGTGAGAAACCCTGTGAGCTGTTATGAGCAAAGAATACTATACATTAGAGCACTTAGAAACAACTCCAATTTACAAAAGCCCAGCCTTACCTAAGCATGCCATGCATCAGTTTGTAATAAACAAGGATACAGGGAGAAATTTAACAAGTTAGTGTTATAGTGCTCTTATCTCGTACTACCTCTTAGGAAAATTGGCTCCTAATTTGGGGTTTTTTCTTTTCATTTTAATACATGTGAGTTCATTTAGCTGAAGTTTGCAAAGTGGATGTCTTGCTCAGTTTGTTTTGAAAAATAATGTTCTTATTATTCTTCTGTGTTCATGCAGTGCCTTTGCCAAACTTCTAATTCCAGCTACAGTGATTTCCAGTTTTCTTTGAGGCATGACATGAGCAATAAAAGAAGCTCTATTAAATAGTTCAAGATAACAGGATGTGAGTTTTTGAGGGAAATGATAGCAAATGGGAGATTTTCTTCTTTATCTTGTGAGTGTATAAGTGACCTTTTGTATTAATGAGGAAAAAGCATCATGTTGCAATGCAAAGCAGTAGTGCTCAAAACCATGGCTTTAGCCCGCCTAAGAAGGGGGCCGGGGAAAAGACAGTCTGGAGTAAGCCTTTCTCTTTTTAAGGTGATTTAATTGCTCACATATTGTTTCTTAGTCAGATGGTGCTTTGTTGAGCAAGTAGGGAGAAAAAAACTACCGGGGTTTCGGTTTCACTTTCTGTTTTTGCTTTTGGTTTTTTCCTGTAGGATATGGAAAGTAACCTCCAGCATACGGTTTTTCCTATCATTTCTCTTAATTGGAATAGTAAATGATATGGTAATCCTAATTACAATGAATAGTATTTCCTATATTTATTTGACCACAAAACCAATTAAGAATATCTTAGGAAAAATTCTTTGAAATAATGAGTTGCCTAAACATCCCATTTTATTACTCTTCAGGATGTAGATAACTTGAAGCACTCACAAATCAAGCATTTCCAAACATCTGACCCAGGGTCTGCTCCTACAAGCCCGTCACCCTATAATCAGTAGCATTCATTTGCATTGAATTTCTCCATTTTCAGGCCTTTTCAGATAATTTGTCCTCTGGGGTAGGTTAAACATAACCTCTGCAGTTTCATTTATTCTCCTAATTTTCTGAGCAAACTATTTTTTCATAGAGTCTAGTAATGAACTCCAGCTCAGTTTTGGTCAATTCCCTAGGTTTCAAGTAAGCAGGCCTTTTTTTTTTTTTTTTTTTTTAATTTATCACACTCTTTAGTATAGTGATTGAGTTAAGTACTTGTTAAATTGGTTCAGGATAAAGAGCACAAGTTCTGCAAAATCCAAACCAGCCACTAATGAGATGACTCTGGGCTACACTACCTTTTCCTTTTCTGTTTTCTCCTAAGCCATGGCTTTGCAGTAGCTGTTACCTGGAGAGTATTAGTTGCAGGCTTGAGGGATGTTACTTTTGAATGGCCAAAATTAATTCTGGCTACCTTAAATAAGAAGGAAATGTATCACAGGTTGAGTATCCTAAATGCTTGAGACAAGAAGTATTTAAGATATTTTAAAATTTTGAATAGTTGCCTATACATAATGAGATATCTTAGAGATGAGACTTAAGTCTAAATATGCATTTCATTTATGCCTTGTATATACCTTGTACACATAATCAGAAGGTAATTTTACACAATATTTTTAGTGTACCTCTATTTTGACCATGACCCGTTCTATGGAGTCAGGTGTGGAATTTTTGCTGTGTCACGTCATTGTCACATTTTAGATTTTCAAATTAGGGATGTTCAATCTATAGGAGGATGTTGGGTCACTCATCAGCTTTCCAGAAATACTGTAGACTCTGACTCGGGGCTGTGCCCAGTTTGATAATATAGACCTGGCCCAGGGAAGACATGGCTGCTGGGAGCAGGCAGTAGCTTGGCACAGCCAATGCCAGTCCACAGCCTCTGCTGCCCCTGTGACTTTGCCTTCTTCAGTGCACTTGGTGGCTCACCCTCCCTTGAACATGTAGCACCAGAGTGGTAGCCTTCATGATATCCATAGTAGGAACTGAGGTCTTGTGTCTGAACCTTAGCTGCCAGGGATGCCTGCATTTTCAGGTTTTTCAGTGGGTCATGGCCTCTGACTTACCACCAAGATTCATCAGGTGGTGAAATTTTGAAATACAGAGAAACGTGTCAGATGCTAGGCAGCAAAAGGGCTGAGAAACATCTAGCATGGAACAGAATGTCTTAACATCTGGGTGATGAGGGTTTTTTTCTCTCTCTTTCTAGCCAATAGATGAGAGTAGCCAGATGAGTGATCTGCCTGTCAAAGTGACGCACACAGAAACTGGCAAGGTCCTGTTCGGACCAGAAGCTCCCAAAGCAAGTCAACTGGATGCCTGGTTGGAAATGAACCCTGGGTATGACACGAAAGCCATGGTACTGGTATTCTTTGGGCTTCTTAGATTTTAGTGGTCCTTGTGAAATCTTAAAACTAAGACAATGCAGCCTTTGCTGAGATGGCGGAAGTTATTATCTTCATTTATCATCTATATAGAGAATGTACTAGTTAAGTCATATTGTGTCCATATTGTTGTATAATTTAAAAACTAAGCCTCCCCTCTTCTCCACTTCTTTTCCTTAGTTACGAAGTTGCCCCTAGATCTGACAGTGAAGAGAGTGATTCTGACTACGAGGAGGAGGTATGTATATGTCTCCATTGAGCTTTACTGTTTTGAAAGTTGATGGGGACAGAAACGTCTCCATAAACACAGGCCTTGTCCATGAGTCCTTTTATCCCTTCTTTCTCCAGGACTGGCTTTTATAAGATTGGGGCTAAAGATCTGCAAAATCTCTGATGCTTCCTGCCTAGTGGTATAGCGATCTCTTGGAGACTCCTAGCTGATGGGGAAAATTGGAGAATTCTAAATTCATTTGGGATCAAGAAAACAGGAGCTGTCATTGAGCTAGAGATGGTGAAAGGGTCTTTCTGGGAGAATTGAAGATAGATTACTTTGGGAAAGGAACTCCCTTGTCTTCTAGTGGTTCACAATGAGGGTTAACTACCTAAGAGTTTCTAAAGTCCTTTATGCCATAGAGTCTTTTTGAAGTTGTTAAGTCTGAGAAATTAGGTGAAAAGGGCAACATGGGCCTCGCCAAGTGAGTTCATTGATCCTCTGAATTTCTTCCTGAGATTCTTGTTTGGATCCTTGAATATACTCGTTACCCGATGAGAAGCACATTCCTCAGTCTCTTGGAAAGAACCCCTACTATCTCCAGAATCTAAAATGGGAATCTTGGATACTTTGAACAGAAATTAAGAACTAATTAAAAGTATTTGTTAGGTCAATTATGAAGTGCTTAGTAATTGCAAATAAAATGATTGAAAGAAGATTTCATCTTTTTTGCTCGAATAGTGTTAATAGTTGTTAGATGTGATATTCCTGGAGTAGAGGAGTTGGTGCAAAAGGTTCCAGCAGCATACATGACAAGGACCAGGTAAAGCAGCTTTTAAGACAACCCTAATTTCCTTCTGTTTTTTTGATATTTGTTTTCTAATCCACTATGAGCACACTCTGCTTTTGAAAAATAATAAAAATTATATTCAAAAAAGCTTAACCATTGAAAAGCAAGTACTTTAGGGGGCATGCTAACATTTCCCCCAGCTGCTCTTTCTTTGTGTCTTATTCATTCTGGTGAATGGGGCTCATAAATGATCCGTCAGAAGAGTTTTCTCTCTGAGAAAGTCAAAGAGGGCAACTGTAAGATAAAGGAGGCTGCTTAACCAGCAGATGCCACCGTGAGACTGACAACCAGAGACAGCTCTGGACAGCTGGGAGGAGGTAAACTGATTGGAACAGGAGCTCAGGGTCACAAGTCAGTCCCAGTGAGGAGCCCTGTGTCCTTTTCCTCACCTAGCAGATGAAGGTATGGTGCTGAGTCCTCAGCTTACAACCTGTTTCTGAATGGTCTGTTGTCATTAGTTTGATTTTTTTTTTTTTTCTTGGTACCATGGATCAAACTCGGTCCTTCTGCTTTTGAGGCAAGTGGCAGAAGCACTGAGCTAAATCTCCAGCCCCTTCAGTTTGATTTTAACGTTGATACTGGGTCAGTTTTTAGGTTTTCATTCAAGACATATGGAAAAGTATGCTTGCCATCAAACGTGCTTTTAGTATCAGGTTACAGTGGACGTAGTGAACACTTAGTAGCACTAAAAAACTGGTCAGCAGAATGTAGTGCATAGTTGAGAGACAGGGATGTGATGAATCCTTTGTCAAGTTAGTGATAGTGTTTTTCAGAATTCTCAGAAGTGCTTAATGCAAGGCTGCTGCAGAAAGCAACATATGTTCATAAGCTCTGGTTTCTCTACATGAACACATGGGAGAGCCCTCAGAGTCCCATATGCGTTATCAGAGAGCATTTTTAGGAGAAGGAGAATATTAAATTCTCTGAAGTCTGCCTTTGGAGAGGAGAGAGCAGCCATAGTCACAGGACTCCGATGGCCAAATAATACCACATTTCTCTTTCTGGCGTGATTTTTTTTTTTTTGGTACCAGGGATCGAACTCGGGTCCTTGAGCTTGCGCAGCAGCCAACGAAACCACTGAACTAAATCCCCGGCCCTCTGGCATGATTTTTACATTTGTGTTCTTTGGAGCCAGGGTCTAGGCAGGGATCCCTAGGGGGTCCTTTTGTTCCCTCATTCAGTGATCTAAACTTCAGTGGGGTGGTGACTTGCCTGATTTAAGTAGATGTTAAATTTACTTTCTCTCTTAATTGTTTTTATTGTCTTCATTTGTTAAGTTGAATACTATTCAATCTTTCTTCAAAAAAAAAAAAAAAAGCCAACCGTAGAATTTCCTTGTTAAAATGTAGTCTTCCAACATCTTTGTTTCTTCTCCAGGATGAGGAAGAAGAGTCCAGTAGGCAGGAAACAGAAGAGAAAATCCTTCTAGATCCCAACAGTGAAGAAGTTTCTGAAAAGGATGCTAAACAGATAATCGAGTATGTGTCTCTCTGAGTTTTCTCCCTTGGAAATATGTGGCCCGAGGATCGTACCATATGATTTTTGGTAGAGAATTTTGTTCAAGGACGGGAGCCAACTTCATGCTCTTGCACTCTACTTGCTCCTCAGGGATTCTGTCTGATCTCCAGCCCCAGGTGTGGGAGGCTCATGTTGCCGATCTCTATCTCTTCCTTCCTTCCTTCTTCCCTCTTTTCTCCCTTCTTCCTTTTCTTTTTTCCTCTTCTTTCTCCTGAGACCCCACCTCCAGCTTGGGGTCACTCCTGGGTTTCACACCGGTCATTTGCACTTCTGCCCCAGATTGGCCTAGTCAAACTTACCTGTTAACTGGCTGTTTCTATGCCTTTCCTTCCTCCTTCAAAGGCAGCAACAGTTGGCCAGAATCCCCACTTGGAGATGCCATTCCTGTTGCATCCTGGTGTCCTAGCCAGGTCAGCTGCCAACTCTCCCTATCCCAGAATCCTCTGCCCCTCTTTCTGTGGGCCCCAGTGTCACCCGCCCCCGTTCCTCCTATTGGTGATCTCCACCTGTCTTTGCTGCTACCGTAAGAAAAATTTTATTATTACATTTAAACAGTTTTGAAACAGTAAACACAAGAGAAACCCTTAAACGCTGGGATTTTTTAAAAGCCAGAGATGGACATCTCAGTATTTTTCTGTTTTATTCTGTGGCTGCATGCCCCACATCAGGAACCCTTGTTTTCTAGTCTAACCCTGGCTCCTTCACTGAAGGTTTTAAGAACCCTCAATGGTTCGCTGTCACTCATACAGTAAAATGCCACTCATGAACAAGGCAAAGAAGGTGGAAGCCTGCCTTTCTGCTTCCCTACCTTCTCGTGTCCTCTTTGATCCTCTTCCACGTGTCTGTCGAGTATGTGAACAGGATTTATCTTTGTATCTTAAAACCCCGGGACCCCTTCATTGGCAAAGTTAAGTTGGTCTACAGCTCTTGGGGTCCGAGCCCTGTTGGTCTCTGGGAGGTCAAGGGCATCTTTTATGACTTGGACAAATGAAGTAACCTCTTTGAGACGCAAGTACTTCATTCACATGCATAAAATGGGGATAATAAAAATACTTACCATGCCTAGTTTTATATGAATATCACAGATAATACATTTTAACTGCAAGACATGTAGTAGTTTCTAAGCTATACTTACTGCAGCTATTGTAGACTCTCAGTTCATTTTTTGGATGAAGTAACACTCAGTTGTCTGCATGTGATTCCCTATTTTGTATTCCTCAGGACAGCAAAGCAAGATGTGGATGATGAGTACAGTATGCAGTACAGTGCCAGAGGGTCCCAGTCCTACTACACTGTGGCTCACGCCATCTCAGAGAGGGTAGAGAAGCAGTCTGCCCTCCTCATTAATGGGACCCTAAAGCATTACCAGGTAATTGGCGTATTTGTGTTTCCCTGGCAAGTCATAGTTTTTTTTTAACCTGATTTGCATTAGAGTATATCTTGCACACGTTAACTGCGTAAGAGATTTTGAAGAAGCTGAAACATTTTTTTTGTTTGTTTGTTTTTTGTTTTTGGTACCGGGGATTGAACTCAGGACCTTGTGCTTGCAAGGCACGCATGGTGCCACTGAGCTAACTCCCCGGCCCAAGCCGAAACATTTTAGATCATATCACTGCTAATATTGAAATTCTCCCCTCTGCGCCTGTAACTCTTCTTTCAGAGTATTTCCATGAGTATTTCCTTGTTCTAGGACATGCTATACCGGTTTTCTCTTTTATAGTTTTGGGATGAATTGTGTTAAAAGAAATACCGAGCTAACTATATTTGGAACACTTTCATTGTGGACCGCTTCAAAATGGAACAGCCAGACATTCTCTTAGTGTACGGAACATCCTCACTTCATCCTGAAATAAATGAAGTATTTCTTTTGGAAATTTTAGTTGTAGCCGTAGTTTTATGGTATGAATTCAACCACCTCATGTAATCTACTATAGTTATGCTTTTTTAAGGTAAAGTTATGAGCATCTGTGCTTTGATTAAAAACTAGTCACAAGCAAAACAGATGTTTAATTTGACCTCCATATTGAATTTAACTCCTGTTTCTTACTTCCTGTTTCTTTGTAGTGTTTCCCGAAGTGTCTTCCTTAGAGAATTTGTTCCATGGAGTCATTCCTCAAAAGTGAACAAAAAAAAAGGACAAAGGTTTTATGGTCCAATAAATTAAGAAACACTATCAGCTGTAACTAGCACTATCATAATTTACTGTTCCAAATTTGGATACTTGTGAGAAAGAGCAGGGAGGCTTTCATTGCTGATCGTAGCTACAGTATAAGCCAGGACTGTCCCAAGCCACCCAGACTCACGTCACCTTGGCAGTGCCCCCTTGGTAATCCACGATGCACATCAGCACATTAACAGCACTGCGCAAGTAAATCCAAAATGCACATCCTACATTAAAGTAACTTGTTTAACGTCGTTTAATCTTGTATTTGACAAACTTCTTTGGCTACCAAGGCCACATTTCTATATATCATATATTACTGTCATAAAAAACAGTGTCCTCTGGCCTATGCTCAGGGACATTAGGCCAGTGATTCTCAAACTTTTGGGCATCAGGTCTTGCCACTTTTAAATCCTGGCACTGTCTGCTGCCCTCGCATGGCAGGGAAGCTCACTACACCTGCTGGTGCAGGGTTGCCCTGGCCTGTGCCAGTGTGCGAGCAGCTTCTGCCCATCATGCTTGTGCACTGTTGCTGCTGATATTTACCCAGTAAGAATGACAAATTAAGCCTTGGTATTATTATAAAAATCATTTTGACCTTAGGGATGTCCTGCGAAAACCTTGGGGGCCCACAGGAGTCCCTGGAGCACACTTTGAGCACAGCTGCTTTGGCCTTTCCAACACCTTTGTAGACAGCTTTTTTCATCACTTTCATTTCAAAGCCATCCCCTTCTACTTCCAAACTTCCCTCACTGGGCTGCTAGAGAGGCCAGGAAAGTGCTTCTCCCTGTCTCCCTCTGGGGTTTCACTTAACAAAGTTCCTTCTTCTGGAATCTGATAACCCACATCTGCCTGATGAGTTCTCTGTTTTCACAGAGTGGTTCAGACTATGGCTCAGAGTCTTCTCTGGCATCCTCTCTGTGTGAAAGTTTTCTTTCTCCTTGGCAGGCTTTTGTATCATTAATATCTACCTCACCTGGAGCTCACTACCTTCCTGCTGCATTCCCTGGGCCCGCGCTCCCTGGAGGGCATCAGCGTGGACAGGCTGTCTGGCCTCTCCACTCCATCTACAGCCCGGGAAAGTCCAAATCCCTTTCCATAGGTTTCGTGAATTCCTGGTCTCTTCTGTTCCTAGTTTCTGCTTTTGCTTTATCTAGGACTAACACAGATGCAAAATTCAGCCGCTTTACACATTTTCATTAAAAATGAAACAAAACAATCCATTGCAAGCATCCAGATGTTTCTGGGTGTTAGTTGACTTCCTCAAGGCCTAGTTATATCAAGGTTGTGTTGGGGGGCAGACAGCTTCTCTTAACCACCACTTATGGCATCTACTTATTTCCCCTCTTGTCCTCTTTCTTGCTTAGTCTCTTAGAGGCTCTTCCCGTGTCCCTCCTTATCTCTTTGTATTGCTGTACTTCCACAGTAACCTTCTGGATGACTTTGGTTTTGCATAAGATATCCCAAATAGCTCATGAAAATTTTTTTTCTTTGGTATTGGGGATCGAACTCGGGACCTTTCGCTGTGAGGCAGGCGGCACCACTGAGCTAAATCCCCAGCCCATGAAAGTAGTTTTTAAAACCATCACTGTTTTCATAAGATAAATTCTGGTCAACACAATTGTATACATATGCATTGGCACTGTTAGCCACTTCTTGGTATGTAGGTACGTGTCTGTTATTTCTTCTTTGACAGCAAGCTTCTGCAGGAAGGTATGCATCATACACACCTTGGTAACTCTCCATTGTAGCTCCTGCATGATCCAAAGAATAGTCATTTAATAAATATTTCACATAAATGAATTGCTATAGGGTTATGATATAGACCTCCAAATAATGTAAGGGAAATACTATAACTCCCAACCTGTCAGATGTCAGGACATCTTTAAAGTTGAAGAATGAATTTTAGGAACAACAGAGGTTAAGAGTAGGGAATATTTATTGAGGAAAAGACAGCTCCTGTCTCAGAGGGACCAGAGGGGACACCTGGAAAGTGTGTAGCCTGCCAACCCCGCTTCTCCAGGGTGTTTTTCAGCAAAGCCAGGAGGTGAGGTGGGTTCAAGGTGGGACAAAACTATAGTCAACTAATAAGATTAAAAGTAAGGTAATATTGATCCAATGGGAAATTACAAGGTGGGTATGATGTGGGACAAAGCTAGGGTCAGCCAATAAGATTACAACAAGTATAGTCCCTGAAGTCATATTGATTAAATGGGGGCTCAGTGGGGAAGCACATGGAATGAATAAGGATTTAGCCGAGGAATGGGCTGGGGAGGTTTTGGTCCCCCACCCAGGTGATCCATACCTTTTGATACCTATTTAGAATATCAATCACTGCTGTTCATCCCTAGGGGAAGTATGTGAGTGTAGTAGTCCCTCTTTTTTGAATCCTGGCCTTCAGTAGATGGGCTTCAATTGTTTTCTGTATTGACTCCCTGGAGATCCTGGCCCTGTCTATAATATATCCAACTAACTTATCTGTCTATAATAGAACCACTCACTTTGTTCTTAACATAAAACAAATTAATATTAACATTTCCCTAAGGATCACTTCATTAGCAAGCTAACTTGACTTCAACATATATGTATAATTATGTATGTGTTACGCATATATTTGATACTTCCACTGAAACCCAGTGCCATTGTGTGGTATGATGGTGGAAGGGAACTGGGAGTTAGGAGTGACAGAATGAACAGTTTTATATCCTCACTTCCTCTTTTGTACTTAACATGAGGGACTCAAAGCTTAGTCTAGTGTGGTGCTTCTGTGCTTAAAAAAATATGTCGTACACATTTCCAGGCATTGAGCTTCCAGTGTGCTGCCTTTGGGGAGCAGAAATCCGAGTGCTGCCGAGGAACTTCCTCTGTGCCAGGGAGAGAGTGTCCTCCCCGAGGCCCAGCAGAATGGCCTTGGCCCTGTGATCTCGGGGTTCCTCTCTGAGGGGTCACACCCTGGAGGGCAGGCTCATCATTCTCACGAAGGCTGTTTCTAATGACCACTGCTCTGTGTGCCAAACCTGCCTTATGGTTTGTTCATCTTTAATCCTCACACTGGCTTTTTGTTTTTGGAGTGGTTGGAATAGATTTTGGTTTGGGGTTTTTTTCCACTTGTAATAATTCTAGAATGTCATATACTGTGAAATGCTAAGTAGGGATGAGCAGCAAAGCTGCTTAAAATCCCACCAGTGTGCTGCAGCCCATCATTTCTAAATCTGATTAACACTCAACACCTGCCAAGCAGCAGGGCCGATTACAGGCTCATATTTTAGATTCTTTTTGCATTGGTGCTTTCCCCACTTTCCTGCTGTGGGAAACTCAGCATACAGCACCGAGAAGTTAAGAAGTCACAGCCTCACTTGAGTTGTATTAGTATTAATTACCTGTGCCGATCTTGGCTAATTGAAGCAATTACTCTTCCTTTCAGCTCCAGGGCCTGGAATGGATGGTTTCCTTGTATAATAACAATTTGAATGGAATCTTAGCTGATGAAATGGGGCTAGGCAAGACCATACAGACCATTGCACTCATCACTTACCTGATGGAGCACAAAAGACTCAATGGCCCCTATCTCATCATTGTTCCCCTTTCGTAAGTAATGTCGTGCACTCCACCGTGGCCCTTCTGCGGGCTGCAGATTGCCCTGTCAGTAGCTTGTCCTTGTTTCTCACTTGAGGCAGAGTTGTAGCTTGTAGCGGTACAGTATTACCAAAATCATGTAATCTGAATTTAGCTTTTCATTTCCCACTCATCCTCTTTAGCTGGCTAGTTAAGTGAGGGACCAAGTGATGGTTAGCAGCATTGTGGTCTGAAAAGCCTGCGCGCTCTGTATGAGCAGGTCATATTCTCCATGGCTCCTTAAGTGGCTCACAAAAGGGAACAGTGTGGGTGTTTTTTGTAGATTTTTTGTTTTGGTTTTTGTTTTTTTCAATTTTTCATCCTTAATTTTTTTTGTACAGAGTTAAAAAAATTTTTTTTTCATGTTCTGTTTTCCAAAAGGTGATTATAATCACCGATGTGTATATAAAAAGATTATACATTTGTAAATCTTTCTTTATTGTATCTTTTAAAGAAGAACGGAAATAAAAAACCAGAACTGTGAGTTTTGCATTCAACGAAGCTCGGTATGGTGCATTCTGTTTCAGTGGCTCTGCTGCTTGGGAAAGACCTATTTTTGCTGTAACCATCTCATCCCCAGAGCCTTGTCCACTGGGTGGCTCCTCAGCAGTCTTTGGTGCACCCTTGAGTGAAGGGATAACTGTTCACCCGCCCTCCCAGGGATGCACTGTGGCTGTGGGTGTCAGGTTGCAGCTTTATTTGCTGAGATCTTGTCATCTCTGTGCTGTTAGGAACTGGGGACCTGCAATAAGAGTAGGATTGTATTTTTGTATTTTCCTCAAATTGTGTCTAAATGAGGACTGCTTGCAGATCTTTCTGTATGAATTATCTGTCTCCATAGTATTTAGACATCTTTTCCATTTTGTTTTGCATGTTCTGATGTATTATGATGACACTTTCAATGATTTTTTTAAAAAGTCATTCAGTATTTCTTTCCCTGCTCCTTCTTGACGGATTTATTTAATATTTTCATGTGGTTTTGTAATATTTTTTCTCCCTGACTCAAGTTTTCTCTGAACTTATATGGCTACCTCTAAAGAGTGTCCAGATTGCTCTGGCGTTTGCTCTTTTTTAGTACCGTGTTAAAATTTAGGTTGTTTTGCTCCTTGTATTTATGTACTTTTAAATTTTTCTTGAGTTTTTTTTTATAAAGCATAAAGTCATCATGCTTTGTAGCAGCTCATTTCTAACTTATCTCTTACGTCCACACCTTTAAAATAAATATGTAGTTGAGATATTTTAATTCTCCAGCCCCTTTTAAGCCAAGGCCTGAAGATGAGTAAGAATATCATTTAACTGCTAAGTTTTATATGAATGTCTTTTTTTTCCTGTATTTTTTGTTGTTCTGTAGGACTCTATCTAACTGGACATATGAATTTGACAAGTGGGCTCCTTCGGTGGTGAAAATTTCTTACAAGGTTTGGAATGCTGTATTTATATATAAATGTGGAAAAGCAAAAATTAGACCCTGTTTTCTTCATTCTATATGCACATCTGTGAACTGTATTCGGTTGTAAAGTTTTGTCATGTACATCATGTACTAAACAGCGAGAGTTAATCATCCCAAGAAGATTACTGTAATAAACCATAATTACTTTCAGATAGTGAAATGCAGAAGAAAATTGTTAATTATCATATTGCGAGGTTTCTGATGAGAGTAATACAAATGACAAATATTGCACATTCTTCATGCTGCTGCCTGGCTCACTGTGGGTGCTACTGTGCCGAAGGTCCCTGCAAAGTCAGGCAATTACCCGGGAGCCTGGGCTGCCTGCTGTCTGTGCCCACAGAAATGGAGCCTTTCAGCTGAGCAGCATGTTCCTTACAACTGCAAGCTTGCTGCAATTTCCTTTTTTCTTTTTCTCCATCAGACTTAAGTGGGAAAACCTTCCGACAAGGGTTTGGAAACTGTCAGGATGTGTGATTTAGCTGAGACTTTCTTCATGGGGAAGGGATTGGCATATGATAATGCACGTATGTGCATATGTCACATGTCCAGGCGCCGTTAAGCTAAAAATTGTGCAAAATAGTGCTCAAGCTCTTTCACTGGGTAATCTATATGTTTTTCTTTCCATTCAGGGTACCCCTGCAATGCGCCGCTCCCTTGTCCCCCAGCTACGGAGTGGCAAATTCAATGTCCTCTTGACTACTTACGAGTACATTATAAAAGACAAGCACATTCTTGCAAAGGTATGCTTTTTGAAAAAAAATTCTTTTATCTCTAATTACGGGCTATCTCACTGGACTGTAAAGTGTTCACCAAATTATACTCAGTGGTATAATTTGATCATTGGATGTCTGGTCTCTTTCTTTTTTTTTTTCCATGAGTCTGATATATTGTGGTTATGGGCTTTAATTTTTTGCATGCCACTACTTTTTCATTTGTATGATTGATCCCAGACTCTTTCCTATCCTCTCACAGTTAATGTGTTTACATATTTTAAGAAAATTCACCTGGGTTCCCGTGCAACTTTGTCCAGCAACAGCCTTGGATGTGCTTGGAAAGAAATTGTTTTTATTGCCCTAGGTTATTGTCAGTGTAACTTCGTTCCTCTCGTGCGTCTCTTCTCTGCAAAGACTAGTAGGCACCCCTCCATATGGTCTCCCCATATGAGCATTTGTCCGAGCTGAAGCGTCTGTGTTATATCTGTTCACCGTTCTTTTCTGGTAAAATAATGCGGGATCATTGTTCAGATTGCCCAGGGCTCTTTCTGTGAGTATTGAATTGGAGCTGAGAAGGAGTTGTTTCTGTGCCCTACGTCTCTCTTCATTTGTGTGTCCTAAGTTATCCTTTAGCCACAAAATAGAAGGATTTTTTTGCTTTTATATCATCTTTTCTCTTAATATGTTTGTGTAGAAAGATGAAACTACTGTTTTCAATGAAGCGATCATGAAAACTTAATTTTTTTCCTTGGTAATTTCATTTACCTTGTGGTGTTTTGAAGCCACTACAATCTGAAACTAAGTTATGGCCAGAATTGAACAGACTCCCTTTTTCTGGGGTTTGTTCTATCCCTGCATTAAACCTTTGCGGTGGGAACTGAGAGTTCCCTTTATGGCATCACAGGAAATAACATAAAGAAAGCATGTTCCCAGGGGAGGTTTAATAATTGAGATGGCGCTGACAACAATGCTGTGTTCCTATCCCTCATGCTCAGAGATGAATTTGGCAGTGTCAAAAATGATGTGCTTCCAATATTACTATGGGAATGTGTTTGTACATTTGAGATCCTTTTAAAAAAATTCATATCATGTCTTCTGCATGTGTATTTCAAAATTCATTGAAGATGCCTGGTAACAAGATGCATTGCTTTTATTTGTTACTGGAGAAATGGAGCTATGGAAAGGGGTAGTAATTTTTTCCAGGGAAGACCTAATTAGGAGGAAACCCAATAGCAAAACCAAAACTTGTGTACTATTTCATAAGCTAAATTAGGCAAGAAAGTAGATTTTAAAAACATATCTAAATACATTTTTGCCTGCTGTTATTTAAGTTTGGGGCAGTTGATTGTACAGTTTTAATTATTCTTAAGTACTTGGAAGTGATAGAGAAAGGAAAAAATTCTGGTAGTTTATTTTACCTGTTCGTCCCTGTCTGAATTGTGATTTTGTTCCTTTTCCCCTGACATTACTGGTTCTTCTAATGAAGAAACCAAAGATGGTATAGCACTTTGTTTATCTGGTGCTTCATGCTGAAGAGCTTGGCAGCAGGGTCTGGGGACATCTGACTGGCAGATAGATGCTTTTTGTGGCCACTCCACTGTTGTATAGGGAATGAATAGGCCAGTGGAACATTGCTTACCATTGTCACTTTCAGAAATTGAACAGTGACCTTGAAGAGGGCTGAAGGGTGAGGCATAAGAGAGGAAAGGACCGCTGGATTTAGGAAGGGGATAGTGCCATGAGCATTCTTAACTTCTTCAGTGATAGTCATCCTGGGGCAGTTTGTTGTGTTTAATCCTTCAGTTTTGGCAAAAGTGGAAGAATGGTATTTTGCATTGCCTCTCTGCCAGTGAGGACATTTTCAACTTACTTACTTATTTATTTATTTCCGGTTGGGGATTGAACTCAGGACCTTGTGCTTGTGAGGCAGGCACCGCACCACTGAGCTGAATCTCTGGCCCGACAGTCTCATTTTAAATAAAACAAAGAGGGTCCTATACCTGGCAGGTATAGAATATACATGAACCGAAGGAGCCTAGTTGTTTGGTCTAATTTTTTTTTTTAAACAAGCTGGATGTTCAGATTTTTATGTGACATATTCCAGCTTATCAGTGTTAGCAACCTGTTCAAACAGAAGAAAATAAATGAAACAAACACTTAGCCAAGCCTTAAAGGTACCCAGCCAGTATAGTAGAAAGACGGCCTGAAGCCAGAAGTATTTCAGCTCTAGACACCTGGTAGTGCCATCTTGGAAAAAGCAGTCATTACCTTCTGTTTCCAGTGGATATCTGTGTTCTGAATTTAGTATGAAGAGAGCAGTATAGTCATGAAATCTGTAATAGCTGTATGACTCAGTGTCAATAAAAGGAGTATTGGATGAGGAGACACAGGATCCAAGGGGTCGATCGACCATTTTATTCTGGGTGCTAGGTTCCTTCCTTGTAAAAGGGTGACTTGGAAGCACATGTCCTTTGAGGAACATTGTTGCTTCAATGTCCCATTATCACATGGCGTTTCATGTGCTCTGTCAGGCATGAGAAATAGTTCATCTGTTGAGGTACATTTATCTTCAGGAGCATCACGGCACATTTTGTACCCAATGTGGGTTCTTTGCTCTTCCACTCTCCCACTTGCCTGTTGTATTTCCCCTTCCTCACCACATGTTGGTCCTTCCTCTTGTGTTACAGATTCGGTGGAAATACATGATCGTGGACGAAGGCCACCGAATGAAGAATCACCACTGCAAGCTGACTCAGGTCTTGAACACTCACTATGTGGCCCCCAGAAGAATCCTCTTGACCGGGACCCCATTGCAGAATAAGCTCCCTGAACTCTGGGCCCTCCTCAACTTCCTCCTCCCTACAATTTTCAAGAGCTGCAGCACATTTGAACAGTGGTTTAATGCTCCATTTGCCATGACTGGAGAAAGGGTACTTCTCTAACTTTTGTTTCTTTCCCTACTCCATGACAATGAAGTCAAAGGGCCTGAAGCTAAGAACACTGGAGCCACAGAGAACTCACAGAGTGGTTATAGTGTTGCCTGCTTTATGAAGCCAGTCAGTGGGTAGATATGGTCTCGTCCCAGGATTATTTTCCCCTCTGAACCTGGAGGTGTGGGAGGGGCATCCTAACTCCCTTGCCTTTTGCTAGCATGTTCCCCAGGCCCCTAGAGAATGCTCCTAACTGGTGGAACACTTAACCACAGTGGCTACCGGGAAGATGAACATGGATATATTTGTTGAATTAATTGAACCAGACTAACTCCACTAACTGAATAAAATCCCTAAAACAAATCTTTCCTTGTTATAAACTTAGACTTCCCCTCAAAGTGTTTCTGTAAAGAGTTTGTATGTAAAACCAAACTAGCTTACTTGGAATTTCCTGGATACGTTTTTTTTTTGTTTTTTTTTGTTTTTTCTGGTTTTAGTATAAGCCTTCATTTCGTGCATACAGAAATATTCCTGAAATGCTAGAGTAGCCATTTTCAAATTTAATATTCCTTCAGGTGTCTTCTCTTAGAGCACACTTAGGAGAAAACTAGTAGTTCCTTAACTTCTGAAATGAAAAGCCACTAAATGTGTTAGGAACATTTATGTTTAAATTCTTTGGCTCTTTAATCCTGAGGTACCTTATAGGCACACTTGCCATCTGTAGATAGTTCATTGGCTCTCCCATTTGTAGAAAGTAATGTCAACTGATTCTGTCCCCTGGAAGTTCATAGAGGAAAGGGAGTGGGAAAAGTAGAGGATTTTCTAATTAGGATGAAACTCGCACAAAATCAGGACAGAGGAAAAAAAAGGAGTTACAAAAGAGCTTACGGTATGGAGGGACTTAGGGACCCACCAGCGTGAACAGGACCTACTCTGTGCTTCTTCTTTTCCTTTTTCAAGCCCCTGTTCTCTCATTACATTTCTTTTTTTTTTTGGTTCCCGGGATTGAACTCAGGTCCCTGCGCTTGCGCAGCAGGCGGCGAAACCACTGAGCTAAATCCCCGGCCCTCTCATTACATTTCTGAAACAACCAAAGTCAAGGTCTAACTGAAGTCTTCAACTTGAAGAAGGAACACATTAACTATTATTGTCCTTTCTCTCCTATCTCAGTGTTCAATGAGGATTTTTTCATTGTTTGGTTTGTTTTGCTGTGCTAGAGATTGAACCCAGGGTCTGTTGAGTCATGCAAGCTAGGCAAGTGCTCCACCACTGAGCTACACTCTCAAAACCCCTCCATTATTTTTTAAGTTTTATTTTGAGAAAGGATCTTACTAGGTTGTCTAAGCTGGCCTTGAATTTACAGTTTTACTGCCTAAGCCTCCCACGTAGCTGGGATTACTAGTGTGTGCCACCACACTTGGCCCTTCATTTGGTCTGTATTTCCAGTAACGTACCATAAAATTTGGGGCTGCTAACACTACTGATCTAGAACTAGGTTTCTGCACCCTTTTCCAGAGAATCCAGCAGTAAGACAATGACAAGCATTTAGAGTGGGCAGATGGGAAAACAATTTGAAGGTGTGCCTGCATAAGCCTGGTTTTAATGCATGTAAACTTTCATTTATGTATGGAAACACACAAGTATACGTAATGCTTTATTGTCTGAAACATCCTTTAAAAAACCCAAATTCAGTGGCCAGGGATTTAGCTCAGTGGTTTTGTCGCCTGCTGCGCAAGCGCAGGGACCCAAGTTCGATCCCCGCTACCAAAACAAACAAACAAAAACCCAAATTCATCTAAGGTTCCTTTGTAGGTGGACTTAAATGAAGAAGAAACCATACTGATCATCAGGCGTCTTCACAAGGTGCTGAGACCATTTTTATTGAGGAGATTGAAGAAAGAAGTTGAATCTCAGCTTCCAGAAAAAGTATGAGGTTTTGTTTTGTTTTTCTGTTTGAGACAGGGTCTCACTATGAAGTCTGGATAGCCTTGAACTTGCTATGCATCCCAGGCTGGCTGGAACTCAGTCTTCTTGCCTCACTTTCCTGAGTGCAGGGACTACAGGCCTGCAAAAAACATGTTGCAAATTCTAAGGTTGTGAGACTTTTAGTTTACTCGTGCAAATGCATTTGAAATGCCTGATCCTAAAATTGTATTTCTGAAATAGCAAGCTTACGTATTAGTTACAGGTATCTTGAAAATATCCTAAAGTGCTTTTTTGTATGACACATCTGGAGAGAAAAGGGAAATTGCAGCATTTTCAACCTGGTTCTCAAAAGCTTTTGGGAAGATTTTACAAAATTATCAAACTCATTGGGTCACATGGCATTGTAATTTTAGATTTTTAAAACTTTACTATTCTTACTGAGTTCACTATTGCAGGTGCTGCAAAACTGTCCTTCTTGTAAGGCAAATATGGATTTGAGTTTAGGACTTGTGTCCTTATTGAAGGCCATAAGAAGTATCTGCCTTGGCCCGGGGATTTAGCTCAGTGGTTCTGTCACCTGCCTGAAAAACACAAGGTCCCATGTTCAGTCCCCAGTACCAAAAAAAAAGAAGTATCTGCCAGAGTTCCTGGAAGTTTATGCAAATTTGAATGTTTGTGATATCATCACCATTCTGATAGTAAGTGAAAGATAGTTTGTGCAGATTATAGGCACATCATCTAATTATTCTGGGATATGGCTTTTCTCCTGCATCATAAAAATTAAATTCCTGTTAACGTTTTTTTCAGACTGCTCTTTGGAAATTGAGTTTCCAGTGCTTTTAGAATGTCTTTTAAGTCTTAGCTCCATAGTTTGGGGTTGTATTTGAGTATTACTTTAATATGTATCTCATCATATTTTGGAACTATGCACATTTGAAGTCTAAATTGCATTCTCTTAAAGATAGTCTATTTGTCACATGAGATATTTTTGAGTTTCTTTAGAGGAGCCAATTCTTAAATGTCTTATATTTGCATGATTGTGGTTTTTCTGGGTAACTACTATTTTTGGACAGATTGGTTCATCCTGTTCATTTTAAAATGGGAGTTGGCAAGAGGGTGTACAGAGTTGATCACTTTGCTGAGAATTTTATTCCCTAATCCCTTATTCATTAATAGAATAAAATTCAGAATAAAAGTGTTTGTACCATGTTTATCATATTAAAAGGCTAAATATTTAAGTATTTTATTTTACTGGTGAATGCATCTTGGGGATTGAGTGCTGCTGCCATTCCTTTGACTTCCTGAGGGCTTCACCTCTTTGAGTAACACCCATTTTGTTCAAGTTGAAGTTGAGTTTAAGTTGAAACATTAAACTGGTGAGTGTTTGCCGTGGTCACGTGGCTACCTTGGTCTCCTTCTTGGCTGTTGCTGTGGTCCTGCAAGTTACAGAGATGGAATGGTAATAATTTTAGAATGTCCCCAACCTCCTTTTTTTTTTTTTCTTTACAAGAGACATAAAATGAAAGATAATCAACCGAAGCCCTTCATTTATTCATTTCATGAAACTCCTTAATCTTGTTTATTCATTTTAGGACTGGCTAATATAGATTGATCTTAAAAACACATTATAGGTTAAAAACACATTACAGGTTAAAGGTGTGCTCTGTTTTAAGAAAATCCCTTGCAGAAAATCCAGACATTCAGAGCATAAAGATTATGGCATGGTCAGTTCTATCACAAAGGAATTCTTCGCTTCACTAAAATATTTACCCCATGGTTCTTTCTACAAGAGAGCTTCCTGAGCACCCTTGAAGGATAATAAACTTGAGAAAATGTACTTGCTTGCAGATTGTCAAGAGTAAGTTTCCTGCGTAAAAGTACTTGTGCTCTTTATAAGGCGTATCATATTGGAGGGGTGTACAATAATCTGTGTGTAGCATTGTTTATGGACACCTTTAGAAGTATTCATTACCTTTAAAGATAACTGTGTTACCGTCCTGAAGGCATCTTGGGTGTGGAAACCATGGCCTCTGTCCATCAGTGGACCTGGGTCCCCAGTACATCGCTCATCAGTTATACATGAACATAGCAAGTCATTTAACCCAAAAGGTTCTCAGAGTTCTTATCAGTGAATTGAAAACATGTATCTGCCTCGCAGAATGAGGATTAAGTGGATGTAGTGCTCATAACATTATGCCAGGCATGTTGCTTACCGACAAGTGACACATACTCCTACTATACACCTTACTCCTACTTGTGTTGCTGCTTTTATTGTTAATGGGAGCTGCACTCTCTTACTTCACATTTTTTCTCACTGTTCTCTTGTCTTTGTTGTGCTTCCTGTGGCCCACTTACATCTCTCCCGTGTGAGGGTCAGTCAGTCTGTTTGTGTACCATATGTGGCTATTTTGATGTGGTTTGACCAGTGTTCATGCTGTACCTTTTCTACCTTGGTAGGATTTTTTTCAGCTAGGGAAAGCTTTTAATTGTCATTCTTGAAGGGAAGGAGGTTTCTTTTCCCCAAATCTGCTTATAGCCATCAACAACATGTATGACTTACTTGACCTGTAAGAGAATCCATAAAGGAATCCTAGAGGATGGCAGAAAAAGGCTAATACCTCCATAGCAATTACTCTCAAATGTTTTTGTAAAAAAGAGTCAGGGAAATTTTTTTTTTATATCCTGTGTGTTAATTTACACATAGTAAAATTCACTCCTCATATATAGTTCTGTGAGTTTTGACAAATCATAATTATGCTATCCATGTCTACAACCAAACCACAGAACAGTTGTATCACCTACCCTTCCAACATTTCCCTGGTGCTGCTCTTTTAGTCAAACCCTCCATCAGCTCTTAGCTTCATGGTATCACTGTTCTGCTCTCCATTCCTAAGGTTTTGTCTTTTTCAAAATGTAATGAGTGGAATCAGGCAATATGTAATATTTTATATCTGGTTTCTTTCATCCAGTGTCATGTGTTTGATTGAGAATCATCCAAGTCACTGCACTTATCAACAGTTGGTTCATTTTTATTGTTGGACAGCGTTCTGCTGTATGGATATACTTTAGCTTGTGTATCCAATTACTTGGGTTGTTTCTAAGTTTTTAAGACTGGATATAGCTGCTATAAACACTTGTGAAGATAGAGGTTTTTGTGTGAGTGTAGCTTTTCATTTCACTTGAGCAATCACCTAGGAGTATGAGGGTCAGTTGGATGGTCAACTGTCCAACCTTCTAAGAAGCTTGGTTTCTGTTTTCTCTACTGGCTGAACTGCTTTGTAGCTCCATTACCAAGGTGTGGGAGCATTCCAGTTCCTCCACATTTTCATTGATACTTGGTATTGTGAAGTTTTAAAACAAATTTTTTTTTAGCCATTTCGGTAGATGTGTGGTGGTATCTTTTAACTTAATTTGCATTACTCTAATGTCTAACCTGGTAGATCGTCTTTATATGTATTTCCTTCTGGTGAAACTAAAGCAGGTATAGGAAGGCCACAGTTTGTTAAATGCATCATTGCTGCATAAGAAAAGTAGTTTCAGTATTAGGCTAATGGAATACCAATGAGCAAGGGCATATATTGTGCCCATCCACTACCACCACCAACAACAATCTGCTGGCATGAAGTCCATTGCTCACACACTGGAAAGAATGCCTGTTCATAGGAAAGGGACTATCTAAAACAACTTAAGCTAAATGAAAATTGATTTTTCCTTTCTTTTGGAAAAATTGATTTTTCGATTTAGCTCCCATTTGAGGTTGTCATTGCTGAGTCTCCCCTTGCTTAATTCATATCATCTAGAATTAACGATGCATATTGCTGTGTATATATTGACGTCTAAAAGTACACATCTAATGTGAGGTTAGCAAGAGATTGGACTACCTGAAATCTGTCCTGATTTTGATATAATTTGCATGAGATACTTTAAGAAGGTTTCTTTATATGAACAGTTTTATATTCTTTATATAAAAGCTTGGAATGCTTAATATGAATAATCGTTACCACTGCTCCTCTCTCATGTCACAGGTTCCAGAACCTGGCACTTTCATAAATTGAATCATATTTTTAAAAAATCTCAGTTCACAGGGCTGAGGATTTAGCTCAGTGGTTCCACCACCTGCCTCGCAAGCACAAGGTCCCAAGTTAGATCCCTGGTACCAAAAAAAAGAAAAAAATCTCAGTTCACAAAGTGGCCATACTGTACATCACATATAGTAGTCTAGGGTCATTGTTCCAATAATCAGCCCTTTTGGAACAGAAATTATAAATGAAGAGCAGCATGCAGGCAGAAACTATGAATAAAACTCAGATCTTTCTACTGTTGTATAGGAAGAGATTCTTGGCCAATATAATCACCAGATTTGCACACTTATAAGGAACAGTTTGTTTATTAACATCACATTTTTAGGAGATAATTATTTTATATTTGAATAAATCTCCCATGCCTAACTTCTTGGAGGAATCATCCCCATCAAGAAGTCATACATTTCCCTTCCTTCAGCATTTGTACATCTTGAGGAACACTCACATTCATGCTTTAATTAGGTGCCATCACATTTTGGGGGACTGGACTCAGACCCAGCTGGGTTGAAGCTAGCACCTACTATGGAGACTTCTCTCATCTCCTTTCTGTTGGTCTGTATGTCTACATTAGGATCGTTCCGTCTGCTCCTTTTCTCAATCCATACCTATCACTTGCCTGCTGTCTGCTTTATCCTGTACTGGTGCTGGGTGGAAGGTGCAGGGGCAACCCCAGAAAAGGAAAGTGTGGTGGTGGGAGGAGTCAGCCAGTGTGGCCTTGGAGATGAGTTCTGCTCACACCAAGTGTTGGTGTGGCAGTGGAGAGCAACATCATCCAACCTAACCGCAGGAATAATCGAGGCACTAGAGTGTTTGAGGGCAGGAGTCTCCAGAGTGTGTACATAGGGGTGTGTCCAAGTGCTCACTAGTAATCCCTTGGGGAACAATAATGCTAGTACAACCATGTATATTTATTTTTCTCTTAAGAATAAAAAAAACGGTGTATTAATATTTAACATGCAGATTGACACTGATTCCCACATAGCATGTGTGTATGTCAGTCAGATCGCACTCCTGGGAGAGACTGTGTGCGCTATTCCAGGGGAAGTGTGAGCAGGAACCTGTCCTCTTGGAGAATCAGCCTGTTCAGTCGCACTTGCTGCCTGGCTCCTTTGCTTTCTGCCTTTTGGCGGCTTTGTGGGTTTTCTCGACCCCAGACACATTAGGAAGATGTGCTGTGGCATGTCTTCCTTATACAGGAACATCATCAAACAAGCTTTGTGACCAACTTCCTTGAGGGAAGTGAAAGGGAAAATCAGTTTTAGTGGATAGGATGATTGGGGAAGATGTTAGGAGGAAGAGCCTTCAAACACAGTAGGATTTAGAACGAAGCCCTAAGACTAAGGCCATCCTAGTTTGCAAGAAAAATGAAAAACCAAAATAGTGCGGAGTTGTTGGAGGGGGTTCCTGGAGCAAATGTAAAATGCAGTTGTGAAGCTGATGACAATGATTGTCACGTGTATAAAACCAGCTTCTGTTATTCCACAATCATGCCAGAAAAGAGGTTAGGGTGGCTTCACCCGCCATGACTAGCTTTCAGGTCCCGTAGGGGAACTTGTCTCTCTGCTGATGTGGCCATCGTGAGGACGCTTGGCATTGTCTCCAGGGAGCTGTTATGCACACCTCCTGCCCCCCGAGCTCCCTTTCTTCTAGCTCTCAGCAATAGCTCAGTGATGGGCAGGGTGTGAGTATTCGGTCCTTAATTCTGGATCTGCCATCACCTAATGCAGCTTTTAAGGAGCATCACTTATGTCTCCCACCTGCAGAAAAGTGTGAACAAGGCAATAGGGAGGCCCAGGGGAAGGTGAGCATGAACGGTTAGGAAGCTCGAAGGGACTCCTTGGTCACCCTTAGTGGGCAGCTTATAAAAAGGGACTCTGTTTCAAATCTTAACTTCACCATAGCACAACGATTGCTTTGGGCCAGTAGATGAACCTCTCTGATGCTCAGATTCTTTGTCTATAAAATGAGAAGGCTTAATGTGACTATTTTGAGCTCTCGTATGTGTTAAATGAGAAAAGGTATGTGTGGTATTTTGCACAGGGCTTGACATGTAGAAAGAGCTCAGAAATATTGGCCCTTGATGTCATTTTACCATTATACTTGCTAAAAAAGTCTGAAGTTGTTTAACATTTTTCTTCACTATGATTAAGCTTCACTGTGAGTTCTGAATTCTTGAGAAAGTAGGATAGTGATTATTTCACAATTCATATGTACATGAAAGCATCATGTTGTATACTTTATGTAATTTTTGTCAGTTATATTTCTAGGAAGCTTCAAAAATAGTGTTTTTGAAAAATAATAAGTATTTATGGGCCGGGGATTTAGCTCAGTGGTTCTGGTGCCTGCTTCACAAGCGCAAGGTCCCAAGTTCGATCCCTGGTACAAAAAAACAAAAAAACAAAATAAAGAAATAAGTATTTATAAAGGAGTGGTACTTTAAAGGTATAGCATAATCAAAATTGTCCAACACAAAAGGCATACTTACGAAGTGTATACTTATTTATTAAAATTGGAGCGTTGATTTTCCTCCCTACAAAGTCATTATATACTAAAGCAGAATTTTGGTGGATTATTTGCTCTTCCTTCCTGCAAAAGAGCAAGCCTTTTCTAATCTGACTTGATTGATCAAAACAAGCTGTTCACCCTGGCCAGATAGTTTCCTTCTAAAGTAAAAATTGAATGAATATGCAGCAATCTTCATCTGTGACCTCTTCTCTCTGGCCCTTAGCGCTAAAAATAACCTGATCATTTTCACCAGTTTATTAAACATTAGGCAGCTTACTGATTTCCTTTTAATTACGTTCTACAGATTTCTAGACATTAATCTGATATTTATTATGAAAATAGCACATTTGTGTGTTTGGGGTTTTTAAATGAAAACAGTAGGAGGAAATAATGAAGGGAGATTTTATGCATTAGGAGTATGATAAAGCATTGCAGGTGTATGGTAAACCGGAGGCATGTGAATTCCCTTCGACTGTTTTCAGATGGACTTTGCAGTGTTTCAACAGGAAGCATAAGAGGCCTTGTCCTTTCTGGATGGCTGTAAAGTTCTGTCCAATTAGGGATTAATTCCTCTCTTTCAACTGTTATCCTCGCCACGTTGTATCCTGTTATTTGTCAGGAGTAGAAGTTAATGACGGTCACCCTAGGCCTACTCTAAGTGTCACTTTAATAAAGCTGATAGTGGGGGCACCTACACATGACCAAGGAAAGAAAGTTATTTGAAAAAAAAATGATGAGCTATAGGGCAGTCTCTGTTTTTTCTAGTACTGTTCTGTTCATGTAGAGGGTGATGTACAGTAGTTAAGAAGAAGGAGTACAGAAACATTCTCAGGGCAACCCACTTTCCAGTCCCCCTTCGGTCTCTCTCAGGCAGAAGCCATCATCTTTCTCTCAACACATTCTTCCTACAAAAAAACAAATTTCTCAACTGATCAGTTTTGAGTGTGAGCAGTTGGTAAGTCTCTTTCAAATATGGAACCAAGTGGAGAAATTTTAGAAAACATGACCCTAGCTTCAGCCTTTTAAGAGTCTCACCATTACCTTGGTGCCTGAAACAGTGAAGATCCTATCTGTTCCATAAACCTGTCCCATCCACCACCCCTGAATCCAAGAAGGGGAAACAGGTGCCTTCTCAACTCCAGGAGTGCTGCCAGCAGCCTTGTCTCAAACTGTCTTAAAACGGCACTTCCCCCTCCTGCTCCTACCTGCCTCCTGTTCTCTCCCATCAGGTTGAATATGTGATCAAGTGTGACATGTCAGCTCTACAGAAGATCCTCTATCGCCACATGCAGGCCAAGGGCATCCTCCTCACAGATGGCTCTGAGAAAGATAAGAAGGTATGTTGCAGAAGCTGGCACAACTGAAGGTACCAGGACACATCCGGTGCCATGGCACTGACTGTTTCCGGGAAGTGTCCTTGCTAATGCCAATTCATGAAAGTAAACGACTGGTTCTTTTTGTAGCTATCATAACTGCCAGAGGAAGCCTCTAACCTGCTACCTGCACAGGGCAGAAGGGAACAGGGAGCACGTTCTTGTTACCAAAAGACTCAGCTCTGTTCACGTCAGTTCTGCAGGAAACACATTCTGCTGAAGTGTTGTGTGGCATTTTAGAAAGTTTTAAAATCTATTTCACTCTCAGGGCATCTGTTCTATGCTCTGTCTTCCAGAATCCTAGGGAGTAGACAGTCATGTCACAAAGCTAGCACCTTGACTTAATTCTTCCAGATTCACTTTTTCTGTAGGACAGGCTATCCTAAGAAGATGTTTTATGTAACTAAAAAAAGGGGAACTTTGAACTAGAAGGTGTGTAGGCAGCTGAGAAGACCTACAGCCCTTTGTCCTTTCTAGAAGAAGCCTTTTATTGATCAGTTGATTGATCGATTGGCAGTACTAGGGTTTGAATCCATGACTTGGCCCATGCTAGGCAATTACTTCCACTAGGTAGATAGACCCTCCTCAAGCCCTCAAGCCTAGTTTTTAAAAATTGGAAACAGTTGATCAGTGAATAATGAGTGCTGTTTGTGTCTTCCCATTTGTTCTCAGGGAAAAGGAGGTGCAAAGACTCTTATGAACACTATCATGCAGCTGAGAAAGATCTGTAATCACCCCTATATGTTTCAGCACATTGAGGTAAGTCAGTGTCCTGTGCTTTGGTCCTGATTGGGGTAATCCTATTAAGGGTGGTTTATAAAACAAAAGCAAAAAGCTAAAATAGGCCTAGAGCATGAGCATAGAAGTCAAAACAGCGTGATCTGCGAGTTCTCCAAGCAGAATTAACACACATGACATTTTGGGATCTGGATTATTATTGGTAGCAAGCACCTTAGCATCTGAAATTTTATAACTTGAGAGTTTAAAGTAGTGAGAAAAAGGGTGTGAGCAGGGCTGATTATGTGGGCTCGGGTAAGTACTGTGAATTACCTTGTTATAGTAGGAGCTCTGAAATTGAAGATAATGATAAATACACCTAGCTTTCTCAGAAGGATGCTATGAATAATATTAAAATAATGCATTTATAAATATTGAAGAGAAAGATGTTCTTTAAATATTTTGCTTGTGAAAGGCACTGGCTTTATTCTGTGCCTTAGATTATAGTTTTCCTGTCTTCTTTCCATCATGATGATGTAAATTGGCTTTTATTCTAATGTTCAGATCTCTAGAAAGCTGGGTTTAGGGGCAAGGACATTTTCTGCTTTGTTCTCTATGTAGGAGAAGTTTGCTTCACTACTCCAGTAGGGGCACTTGGCTGGAGCAGGAATGAAAAGGAGCTGCAGTCGCTGAGTCCGTTTTTCAGTGTTGCTGCCGAAGCCCATAGTCCTGGGAGCAGTTATTTGCCAGTGTAGGGCCAGCTTTCTACGGAAAATTCATCAAGAGATGGAGAGGAAAATTACTGTAGGGATGCAGTATCTGCACCAGTTTGTTTTAAAATAATAAATAAAACCTTTATAAAAGCAAAACTTAATCACAGGATAAAAATTGAAATATTTTTAATTTTGCATATTCTTTTTTCCTCCCTTATTTTGGGCAGTTGTGCCTGTTAGGTCAGAGTATATATTTCACACCCTCTCCATATACTAGTCCTGTCTCAACTGTACTGGGTCATTAGAAAGCCTTCCAGCTCTGCTGTGGCCTTTGTGTCCTTGAGAGAGAGTATCCACAGATGCAGGGGAGAGGGTCCACAGATACAGGGGAGAATACAGGAGACAGTATCTGTGCGCATAGGTGATAGTATCTGTCAGCTTAAGCAAACACTCCAATAGGACACTGTCGCTGTGACCTGGGGTGAGTCACTCAGAATCTCCCAGCTGTAGTCTGCTTGATTTGTAGTGCGAGGATAATAATTGATTATGAGAGTGGCAGGTAGATTAACTTTTAATAATGTACAAAGCGTCTTGTAAACTACCATGTTTGTGAATCAGTGCTGAGTGTATGTTGGGTGGGGGGAGCTGGGAAAAATATATAATGATGAAAAGGATTGGGGTCCTATTGCCCACCATCCCATTTTTCTGGAAGACAGCTTTAAGACATTTAATCTGACCAATAGAAGGCTTTGGGGGGCTTTACAATTAAGAAAATTTCAGTCTTACTGCATTTTGGGTATCTTAAGAAAAATTCCCCTTTGAAACATGCTGGGCTGTGTCAGGAAGGAAGGGAGAGAGGATGACCTCTCCTCCAGCTTCTGTCGGGAGCACTGGCAGGGCTGGGGTCATGAAGGAAGCTGAGCTCAGGAACAGGCCTGCCAGTGCCTGCCTGTTTATACTTTCAGCAGCATTTAATAGAAAGGCAGGCTCTGATTTTCACCTGTTTTAACAAACAAAGCTTTGAGGAGCCTACTCCTAGAAACAAGAGTCCCGGAGTTACTGGAGAATCCACTGGCAGGTCTAAGATGCTCTGTGCTTCTATTTTGTTCTGTTTGCTACACAGTCCTTTGCAGATACCAGATCATCCCAGAAGGTCAGTCTGAATATTGTTCTCCCTGCCTCCCTGGAAACCTTCAATCTGGAGAAATGGAAGCACTGGTTTTTTGGGGGGGTTTTTTTTGGTACCAGGGATCAAACTTGGGTCCTTGAGCTTGTGAGGCAGGCGGCAGAACCACTGAGCTAAATCCCCAGCCCCAACAGCACTATTTTTTAAATGATGCTGAGCCCTAATCTTCTCACGGTCCATGGACGCATAACATTGCTTTTGTTTTCCCAGCCCTGCTTATAGACAGTGGCAGAACCTAAAAACGTAGTAAGGGATGGCTAGAGTGGAGAGTAGAAGCGTGATTCTAGAAGGCGGCGTGGGGTTTTGTCCATTGAACTTCTGTGTCACTTTTGCCACAGGGTGCCGCTCTGAGGGGTTGGAGCCTGCCACTGGCGATGAGCATATTTGAGAGTAGAGCCCAAAGGGAAAGATATGGTCCCCTTCGAGGAAAGGCTGCAGTGAAGAGCGAAGCAGAGAAGGGACAGCTGGTGGCCATTGTGAAAGTGTGACTTGCTCGTCACCCCTGTTTCCATAAAGTGGGAATAGAGAAATCTCAGAGGGCAGCCCAACTTTTCTTCCTCTGAATCAGTAAGGAGGGGGTTAAGTAATTCTGTATTTCAGCAGTGGAAGCCGGACACTGAGGATAGAACACCTTTAAGGCCTTACTTGTAAAGGGCAAAAAAGCACAGCATGGAAGGGCTGTTAGGGATGTCACTAAGAATGACATTATGTAAGCCCTGCTATTTTTTATTGCGTTATTTTCTGCTTTACATTTATGTTTCTGTGTTAATCCTGAGTTGCTGGCACTTAGCTCTTGCTCTAGCTTAGACTCTCAACTCCTTATGTGGGGTGATCCCTAGGAAGAACTACTGGCTCAGCCCTGGGCCCACGAATGCTCAGTCACTGTCAGACCAGTGAGCTGGGCTCTCATCTGGGAGACCAGAGACAAAGAAACTCACAAGATCTATTTCTGGTGGAACAAAAATCTGACCTCAAAGACACTGAGTTTCTGGTTCACTAACAATCAGTATTTTCTTATTGTTTTATTATTTTGTCTCCTTTATTCTCTAGAAATACATAGGGTGACCTCATTAAAAGAGAAACTACTAAGCTAAAAATCACACTTTTAAAGTTACTTTCTTCTCTCTTTTTTACAGGAATCCTTTGCTGAACACCTGGGCTATTCAAATGGGGTCATCAATGGGTAAATCTTAAGTTTTTTCTTTCAAAATATAGTACTATTGGTCATACCTGAACTCTTTCTTTATAAAGTGTTTTCTAGTACGAAAGTAAGACTGTGATCTCCTTAGCCCTTTTTGCTTCTCAGCAGAAGACCCAAAGTTGTTAAGAAAATGATGCCAACATTCTCCTTTTACTTTACTGGCATAAATTACTGCTTGCCTTGAGGAAGTGGGCTACTCCGAGGACATAGATCTCACTTAATAGACCTAACAGTATCCTGATGTTCTGAAACGTTGCTGAAGCCTGAGGGTTTTTAATTCTAACCAAAGGTGTAGCTTCGGCTTGAAGAGAATTTATCTTATTAAATTTCATGTTGATCTTTAACATTCACGTGCAAGGGAGGAAATGTCTCATTTGTTACCAATGTGTTCAGTTTTAGAGTCATTTGTTATAGAGTACGGCCTACATAAGAAGGGTTTTTCATTAGTAGTGACCACGAAAGAGAATCATGTCTTGCAACAACAAAACGATGAAGCAGGTCCTACCAGCAAGTCTGTTGTGTTTGTTTTGCACCAGGGAAGATGTATTAGTGGGATAGAGGGCTCCTGGTTGGATCCCAAAGGCCGGCAGGGTTACTGGGCAAGAGGGGAACTGCAGCTGGTGCCAGAGCAGTGTCAGGGACCCCTTCCCTCTCCCTAGCTCACTTCCCTTTGGGTCTGAGGGTCACCCCTGCTCCCAGCAGCTGGACCAATGTTTCAGGATGAAAAGAGGACCCAGGGGGTACAGTTCTCAGAGCAGGGGATGGACAGCAGGAAGACATACATTCCAAAATGTATCTTTTAGGAATAGTATATACTGTGACATAAATTCAGCAGCCCAGGGCTACATTTCAGTGTTGTGGGCCGCATTTGCACCGGCAAGTTCTCCAACCGATAGCAATCCTAAGATTAAGTTTTAATAATGTGTAACATTTACTGACGGAAGGAAAAAAGGGGCTAATTATGGAGGAGAAGGGCCCTGCCTTAGCCTTTCTCTGTATGATAGCTTCGTCTCCGTCAGCTGCCTTCGTATTTTTGACTTGAGCTGCTGCAGAAAGACGGGGTTCTAGTCCCCTCCCCAGGCCACGTGGACAGTGTCCAAGGTGACGTGTAAAACCCAGCCAGCTCTGCATAAAACACAGCACTGCTTGTCCGTTGCACCAAAACCCAGAACACTGAGTGTTCCCCTCTTCTCTCTCTCTTCTCCTGGCCCGGTTTCCCCCCTATTTCGGGTTAAACACATTAGCCGTTAGTGTTTTCCGTTTCTCGCACTTAGCAGGCTCCTTTACCCTCAGGGCCTTCGCACATGCTCTTTCCTTTCCCTGGAATCTCCTCCTCTCTGCTCCTTATCCCTACATTTTCACCTGGATGCCATTTAACTCATTCTCTCAAGTTTTAGCTAAAATGTTATCTCTTCAGGGAGATCACCCCTCATGCTTTAAACCAATGACTGGGAATCATTTCTGTAAAGGGTCAGATGACAGTACTCAGCTTTGCAGCCATAACATGTCTGTTACACCCATTCAGTTTGGCCAATGTAGCTTGAAAGCAGAGGGGCCAAACAACAAGTGAGCATGGTTGTGTTCTGATAAAACTTTATTTATAACGAGGCAGCAGACCAGGGCCAAAGTTTGCCCAACCTCACTCGAATCTACAGAAGGTGGCATGTATTGCTATGGGTCCTCTCATTGTAACTTGGTATTTTTATTTATAGTATTTAGCACATTTTACAGTTATTCATTTTGTTTATCACTATACACATGCCTAGTATTGTGCTTGGTATTGCACCTAGTAGGTGCTCAATAAGAATGTGAATGAATGACAATGAATTGTGAGTACCCTAAATTAACAATTTTATATACTTAATAGAGAGTTAAAGGCAAAGAGAAAGAAAATCGAATGAGAGAGACCCTGAAAAGTATTAGGTGCACAAAAGTCTTTCCTTTTCATTCTAGAATCTGCCATCAACCTAGCATGGAAAATACACCCTTTATGGGTTTGATATAAATATATTTTCTTTCTTCAATAAATACTCCCATTGTTTTGGAGTTGGCATTCATTCATTGATTCCACAGTTCCTTACTGAATGTTTACTATGTACAAGGCACTATGTGAAAAAATCAGAGCGCTACTGGATCCTTCAGGAAGACAGCAGTAATACTGTCTTCTTGTTTTGCATTTTTGGGTTCAGGGCTGAGCTGTATCGGGCCTCGGGAAAGTTTGAGCTACTTGATCGTATTCTGCCAAAACTGAGAGCGACTAATCACCGAGTGCTGCTTTTCTGCCAGATGACGTCTCTCATGACCATCATGGAGGATTACTTCGCTTTCCGGAACTTCCTTTACCTGCGTCTTGATGGTAAGTGCAGAAGGTGTTAGGCTCAGAAGCCATGTGACTGAAAAATGCAGAGACGGTGGCACTTAGAACCAATCTCAGCCAAAGAGGAGGAGGAAAACTGAAGAATTGCCTGGAAGGGTGGGTGCACGTTTTCTAGATGGCAATTTTTATATCCTCTAGCTTTAAAAATGTTGACATCATGTGCATAGTTTATCTCACTTACAAATCAACACAGATGAATTCATCATCACTTATGAATCCCATAATTGAACAAAACTGGAGTTTTTAAGTCCTCCTTGCTCTTAGAATCAGCTCTTACCAATTCATGTAGAGTATCTTGACAAGCTTTTAACTCTTTCTGTGGAGACATACATTCAAGGATAAAGGCTTTGTTCCTTTAGTAGTAATGTAATACGTCATTTGTGATTATATTTGTTACTAAAGCCTCTCTTTCTAAATAGGCTATATCTACATGTTATATAATGACATGTAACCTCATTGTTTCCTGGATTTTGCAAACTGTATGAAGTACTTACCTGATTTTAAGAGTGAAATTTAAATACCATGTCCTAAACATTCACAAGCAGATGTAAATGGAAGAAACAATGAATTTAAGGATGATTGCTCAAATACATTTATTATTTGGACACAGGCCATAATATTTTTGAGATTAATGATATCCCAGTCTTGATACTATGGCAGGGGATAATGTGCTCCATGAGTGGGAAGCAAGAATAGGAGCTAATTGACAGGCAGGATGCATTTAATCCCTGGCTACAAAGAACACCATACTGCTAATACCTGTTTGTATCTAATGCAACATTAATGTTATTGTTAAGTGAACAGGAAATTTAAAGTTTGTTCTAATAGAAGGTTTTGTTTTATTTTCAATTCAACATTTTGTCCCCATTTGCCCTTGGAAATATACCAAACTCAGACTTGCCAAATGTTTGCTTCCTTGAGCTCTTGGGTGAATTCTGTCTGCCTACCTCTCCCAGAATTATTAATATATTTTTTTGGTACCGGAGATCGAACTCGGGACCTTGTGCTTGTGAGGAAGGTGGCAGAACCACTGAGCTAAATCCCTGGCCTGTATTATTAATTTTTAGATTAACTATACCGTCTGACAGACATGATAATTTTAAAACTACCTTATCTCTCCCCTCCAAAGTCCCTGAGTATTGATGATTAAGTAAACATTCATTTTGAATTCATAGATGGAGTCATATTATCCAGTCTGTCTCACTTGTCACACCCCCTGCTTGTTTCTTCCCTTTGACTGGACCCCTCGCTTCCTGTCAAAACGGAGCTCAGACTTTTCCTTCCTCATGTGACTCCTCTCAGATTGAAGGCAGCCAGGCTTGATGTCCCCTGGATTTCTAACCTCCCCCCCACCACCAGGTGTCCTAGTAACTACTATTTGCTACTTTGTGGCATTTCACTTTGAATCTCACCTCTCTGAGGACTGCCGCCTGAGAATATTTGAATCTATAAAACTGATAAGTGATTTTCTTGAAGCAAATCATCAGTGTTTCCTTTCCAGTTTGAAAGATTCTCTTTAATGGTCTGTCTGTTGTTGTCCTTGTTGTTATTAATAATAATAGTCCTAACAGCCAACACTATAAGCAGGGTACCAGACAAAGCACTTTGTATGAATTATTTATTTCCTCAAGAAATAAGGTATTGTTATCCCTTTTCATCCCTACTATTACGATTTCTGATTGAGAAAACAAAGATAAATGATAAAACCAGGTTCTAACTTGGATTTCTTTTATTCCAAATTAGCTCAGTTTTAGCACATCTAGTGAGATACACTTCATCTCTGTAGTGACGTTTTAATAATGATTTTGAACTTATGTAAAGTTATTGAACTAATTAATTGAAAACAACTGGAAACTAGAAATACAAAATGAATGGGCCACTCCCTGTTCTGCTATCAGAGCCCTTACTGTTAGGTGGAAAGAGAAAAAATAAGTTCCCTGAAGTGTTTCAGATGGCTTGAGAAGGCTGTTCTGGCTTCTACCTGAAACAGTAGCCATTCATTCTGGGAGTGGAAAAAAACTACTGAACAAACAATCAGTACACAAATGGATAAATCAGTATGCACCCTTCCGAGTACAACTCCCTCCCCACTGCCACCCCCAGTCTACCACCGAATTACCCTAATGTCTGCAGATTTTCCTTGCTGAATTTGATGCCTCAGATTTTTACTTCAGGGGAGAAGAATGACTTGTTGAAAGCTGAGCAATTATTTTCTGCAAAGATTATGGTTACGTGAAATAATTTCACTACTATTCCATTATTGGTTTTGTTGTTATTGGAAATGATTCTTGAATGAGAGCAAGTGGTAAAGTTTCATCCCAGAAGGTTACATTTTCCAAGAGCAGCTTAAACTCAGTTAAAATTGGTGATCATAAAAGTCTAGCACTGTATTCCTTCTGGCAAATTCTGTAATTTTCAATGAAATTGCCCTTGCTATTACTTCTATTCTTTTAATTGGTTGTGTTGTACATCAAAGTCTAAAAGACTTTGAAACTGATGCTAATGCCAAGCACATCAAATACTGTGCACCTGCAAGGAGATTTTTCTTTGGACAAACTCACACATGGTAGTTTGAATTTCCCCGAGGACTGCTGAAAAGATTGCCGATGATTGGCAAAGATCTTGACTTGGGAAACTTTGACTAATGGAAATAATAATCCAGGAAATTTTGAACCTTGTAATAAATGCTATAGCTTTTCGTGAAAAGTGATTGAATCTTTGTTTGTATTATAATGTGCCAGGTTTCCAGCCATTTACATAGTTTAACTAAACATCAGATATATGGTCAATCTCTTTGTTTAAAGTAGCTACATAGGGCATGAGGACTCCTTTGACTAAGTGATTTTTTTTTTTTTTTTTTTGGTACCAGGGATCAAACTCAGGGCCTTGCACTTTTGAGGCAGACGTGGTGCCATTGAGCTAAATCCCCTGGCCCGACTAAGTAATTTTGTCATTTCTGTTTTTCAGTGCTTTGTTTTGCATTTAAGGTTATTTTATCCAAAGTAGGCATATTCCTAGTTTTATTGATATCTTAATACATGTGATCATTAATGGATTATATCTCAGTTGGCTAAAACTGTTGAATTTCCACCCTCAGAGTACATGAGATACACAATTTTCATATCTATCAGAAAACAGATGTCATTAGCTCTGGAAACCCTACCCTACTCTTTGTCCATTTTAGAAGTTTTTTTGGGGGTGTGGCTTTTCATTCAGCTTAAACCAACAAGTAAAGATAGGTACCATCAATCCACATGAGTGATTTTTTTTTTAAAAAAAAGAATTTTGCATCTGGTAAGGCAATATAGAGAGAAGGTTTCATAGCAGAAAAAAATTATGCCTTCCTTTTAGCATCCTGAAAAAATAGTTCATGATGATTTTGGAAAGGCAGTTGAGAAAGTAAAAGGAAAAAGATTTCCACATGTCCGAAAACTCACTGAACAAAGCACATTAATGCTCCTCCTCCAAATTTAAATTCCTATAATTCATTGTGGCAATTCACCAAACAAAAATTCTAATTCAGAAAGTAAACTGAGCTTCAGGAATGTTGCTTTGTTAAATGCAGAGCCCACAAAAGCCCTGGTTCCTAATCTCCATTTGCTGTATGTAGGGAATAGATTTTCCTTCCTCCTCAGGAGGATACTTGTTATTTTTACTAAATGTGAAAAGCAGATTCCCCATGTTTGTGAACTTGACCCTCATCCGTAACTTGATACCTTTAGCTGGAGTCACTTAAAATGCTTTAATCATCTGAAATAAATTACTGCTATATTTTCATCCTTAAAAAAAAGGACAACACATAGAAATAATATTTGTCTAGCAGCCATGCGGGGTGTATTGTATAACATGTATTTTTCCCAGCAGCCTGCAGGCTTTTTTAGAACTCAGCCTGTATACTTTTCTAGTGAAATACATTCAGATGGAATACTGATGGGTTTTGTTTTTGTGTTTTTCCCTTCTACAATGCATTCTGTGGCAGAACTGAGTAAATACATAACAGATGGATAGTAGGTGACCGAATGGCTAACTTGGAATGCAAGTAAGCCACACTTAAACCAGAGTAAGCCACACTCTGATACGGACGCTCTGTTCCGATTCCCTGTTTTGAAGCCCTCCTCAGACTCTGGTGTGAGTCCCCCCAGGTGTCTGAGCCTCTGCTGTGTGTGGTGGGCTAAAGTTCAGCATCTTCTGAACCCAACGGCAGGATGTTAACCTAAGAAACAAACTAACAGATTCTCTTTATTATTATGGCTTCAGGTCTTGCTAGGAACAGTTAGAAGTATTCATTCACATTTTACCTTTTTAACCCTACCATATTCAGTAGCAATCCAAATGGTAAAGTAGTAGAAATCAACTTTCCTTTTGTTTTCACTCTCGGGGTGTAAGTAAGTCCTTGCCCTAATACCTATAAGTGAAGTTGTTTTAAGCCCTTATAATAACTGTTTTAGGCATGCACGTGTATGTGGGGTTTTTAAAAAATTTTATGTGATATTTTAAAGCACGGAAGTAGATCCAGGAAATGTTTTCATTAAGTCTTGGATTAGGATAAGAATGTAGAATTTGTAAAGTTGCAAAAGTGGCCCATCGTAAATATTTAAACAATCTTTCCTTTTTTTTAATTGCAAAACATTGGAAGTTCTTTTCAAAAGGACAGGAACCCTGGGATTACCTCACTGATGTTAAGAGGATGCTGGATATATTTTTCAGGCAAGCTGGCCTTTTTGGCCGGGTTTTCTGCCATTTTCATGCAGGAGTTAATTGGCAAATTTATTTTTCTTATCCCCTCAGGCACCACCAAGTCTGAAGATCGTGCTGCTTTGCTGAAAAAATTCAATGAACCTGGGTCCCAGTATTTCATTTTCTTGTTGAGCACCCGAGCAGGAGGCCTGGGATTAAACCTCCAGGCGGCTGACACAGTGGTCATCTTTGACAGCGACTGGAACCCGCATCAGGTGTGTGTCTGACGCAGGCACAAGGCCTCCCCCTGGCAGGGACTGAATGGTGCTCACTTCATTGTTCACATTTATAGGACAGGGCAACTTCTAAACACCTAAGCAGTTTCCAAAGGAAAAATGAAGGCCAACCAATTATTATGGCTGTTTCTCATCTCCTTTGGAGCATAGACTCTACAGTGCCCTACACATGGGAAGGTTGGGGTAGAAAAACTCAGTTTCTGCTAAGTTTGAATCCCTATCTCCTGGTATTGCCGAAAAATTACACCTGGTGCAGGACAGAGCAGAATTTCCCAGGGGCAGGGATGTAGCTCAGAGGTGGAGTAGGAGCTTCACTCACACAAAGCCAAGTTTTCGATCTCCAGCACTAAAAATGAAAAAGTTCGCAGATAATAACAAGAACAGTAGAGACCAGCGCTTACTGTACCCTTATTCTGTGCCAGCCTTTTCCTGTACATTGCTTTGATCAGGTTTTACAGCCACTCTGTCAAGTAGTTGATCAACTGTTTGCATCTTTACAATCAAGGAAACAATCCTAGGCAGATTAGATAATTTCCTCAAGGTCTAACAGTTCGTATGATACTTCACCTTATAGTTTGTGTTTTGTTTAAAGTCACCAGTAAAACATATTCCATGGAGCATCTATCATTGTTAGCTCTTTTTACCAGGTAAATATAGAGTTATCCTTATGATGGAGTACTTAGAAGACTTAAATAGACAATTAAATTCATCCTTTAAGGCACTGCCTTTCCAGCCTGCTAGTGAGACACTGGGTAGAATGATAGGCATCAGGATTGGATTCCTCTTAGAAGGAATATTGGATTCAAGCTAGTGAAATGGAACGTGCAGTGAACATGTGAATGTGAATTCTGTATCCACTTCTTCTGGGCTCCTCACTCAGCAAGGCTCTCCTCATCAGTAACACTGACTGTCTCGTGGGCTTACTGGGAAGATGAAGAGGAAAGGCCTCAAGAAGGCGTTTCTGGCCAGTGGTAGAGTTCAGGGGTGCATTAGAATTATATTTTTAAACGTATATGCACCTGCTTCCTGTCCCTTCCACTGCACCCCATGGTTTGTTTGTTTTGTTTTTTCCTGTTGCTGGAGATCAAACCCAAGGCTTACTGCATATTAAGCAATTGCTCTACCACCGAGCTACACACCAGTCCCCAGATTTCTTATTTCTTATTTAGCAGGTCGAGGTGCTGGAAAGATTCCAGGAGATTCCCATTGAAGATCTCTCACACTTTTTTTTTGGTACTGGAGATTGAACTCAGGGATGCTGTACCACTGAACTACTTCTCCAGCCCTTTTCTTTTCTTTTTTTTTTTTTTGTATAAGAGCATGAATTCAGGACCTTGCACTTGTGAGGCAGGCACAGTGCCACTGAGCTACATCCCCAAACTCCTTTTCATTTTTTTTTTTTTTGTTTGTTTAACTTTTTTTTTTTGGTACCAGGGAGCAAACTCAGGACCTTGCACTTGCGAGACAGGCGGTGGAACCACTGAGCTAAATCCCCGGCCCTTCCTTTTCAGTTTTTGAGATAGGTTCTTGCTGAGTTGTCAAGGCTGATCTTAAGCTTTTCTTTTTTTCTTTTTTTGGGGGGTTGGGGTATGGGGATCGAACTCAGGAGCTTGCGCTTGCTGGGCAGGTGCAGTGTCACTAAGCTAAGTCCCCGGCCCTGATCTTAAACTTTTAATCTTCCTGCCTCAGCCTCTTGAGTAGCTGGGATGGGAAGTGGTCACATCCTTGATGCTTCTCACGACTCTTTTGAGTTGAGCACTGCATGTGCTTCCTGGTCACTCCCTGTAGGTGCCAATGCTAAAGTAGAATTATAATTGAAATGTTCTGACCCTGAAAAGGTGGGGAGCCACCAGCTCATCATCTTATTTGTTCCAAGACTTCATTCAGGAAACATTTTTATATACTGTGTATTTTTGATAGTCAATGTTACAGTCTAGAGCTCAAGTAAACTTGATATCCAGTGAAAGATCTCTACCCCACACCTCATGCTTAGGAAACGAACCCAGGGCCTTGCAATAAGCTATATCCCTAGCCCTGTGTTTTATTTATTTATTTTTTTAAATGTTGAGACAGTATCTTGCTAAGTTGCTCAGGCTGGGCTCGAACTTGGAGTCCTACTGTCTCTGCTTCCCAGAGTGCTGGGGTTACAGGCATGTGCCACCATGCCCAGCTCCTGCAGTTTTCCATTTTACCATTTTTCTTCATATCTGTTCAACAACCATGTGAGGCTTGTCTGTCATGCAGCAGCACTGAGCTCAGCTGGCATCTGAGGAGGAATGGGATTCCTCTCCTGAGTGCTCAGTGTGGTTGGAAGTTTACATTACTCTACTTACTGATCCCTAAGCCTTTTTTGGGGGGAGGGGGTTAATGGTTTGTAGGTGAATGGGAGAGTTTGCTGTGATTTATCTTCTGAGCTAAACAGCATTTCTACCAGGTACCACCTGTTGATCTTCCCTGGCACAGTATAAGTTCTAAGAGCCAAAGAAATCAGTGTTTCTGGAAATGCTAATATATCATGGAAAGAGATGCTGGGTCATCTATCTGCTCTTGCTCTCTTTCTCTCTCTCCTCTCCCTCTCCCCCTGCTTCCTCTCTGTCATAAACTTTGGGGGCCCATGTGACCCCAAAAGGGGTCACCAGAGTCAAAGTAAATTTACAGTTCCCTTCTAGTTACACCTGAGCTAGATTTTTGGCACAAAACACAGGACCCCAAATTTCCTCTTACCTATTTGCTGCCAAGGTGCTCATTCTGGCCCTTGTACCTCTGTAAGTGCTTACATCTGCCAGAGCCGGGTTCACTTCTACCTGACTGAGTGCACTGGGCTGACTGCATTGTTCCTGTCTGTTACTGAGACATGGCTATTCAATTAGGAAAACGTCTTTTCATTTTCTGAAATCACTGGTCTTAGAGTGCTATGACTGAATACTGAGTTTTTGTTCAGAATGTAAGGGAAATAAATATATTAAGCACCTACTGTGCAATAAATTGCTGGGCAGTTTGCATAGCCTCCTTCAGGTAACCCTTAAAGTATTTTGTGTGTAAAGACACCAGTCTCTGTTGGCCTGCTCAGGAGCACCTGGCCAGATTTAAATCTGAGTGTGTCTGGGTTTGAAGAGGATCAGGATCGCAGCTCCACTTCCACTCCTGGCCCAGGTTGCCTGGAATCTTAGTATTGGGCCCATTACAGGAACTGTAGGCTGACTTTGCTCCAGAAGATCATGAAAAGGTTGGTGATGCAGAACTTGTCATCTTAGCCGTCACTTAGCTAGAGATGTGTTGAGAGAGATGGGGATCACAGGCTTGACAAGGAAGTGAAGGAATTTTTTTCCCCTCTGGGTTTTAATTACCCATCTCCTCTTTAGAAAATAATTTAAACTGGATGGGTCCCAGCTGTGTTCAAGGTTCACTATATTTATACTAACTTATTCAAATATCTTCTGAGAAAAGACTTTTGCCTAATCAGTCATGTAATTTCAAAGCTTTCTGTAGCAAAAATGAATCTCCTGAGCAGACTTTTGTCTATTTTCTTGGGCTGGGCCGGTAACTAAAGCTCCCTGGTCAAGAGGAGGGGTTTTTGAGCATCAGTTCTGTGCAAAGGATATTGCTAGGGACAAACTATTGCCCTAAATATGTGTGTGTATGTGTCTGTGTGTGGGGGGGGGTTGACCCAGTGAGAGAGAGTCTGATTGGAACATACGTAAACAACAGTCAACACTGGCCCAGCTCCCACCACAGAGACCACAGTGAATAAAAGGGACAGGCCAAATTTTTATCGAGGAGCTGTGAAATTAGATAACTGCTTCATAGATTTATAGAAGTCTTTATTTAAAGATCTCATTAATGCCTTTATCCTTTTTATTGCTGTTCTTTAAAAAATTTACCAGTAAATGTTTGTGATACATAGTAAATATATTCATTGTGAGGAATTGGTACATATGGCGTGGCATCTTGGTCCTTTGTACTTCCCCATCCTCTCCTCTCTGTCCCATCTCCCCCCGTTCCCAGGTCCTCTTCCCATCTCTATAAAGTCTATCTTTCTATTTCCTGTCATCTAAGATTAATATGTTTAAAGTCGGAAAATTGTTAAGCTGTGTATTAGCAAAGTGAAGATTAAACTGTGTCCATAATTTTATCACTGGAGATGTAAACATTGTTGGTACATTGGTGTCTGTCCTTCCCACCTTTTTCATGGTGTAAATAAATATCCAAGTGTAAGATAAATCTATGAACTCATTTATGTGACATAGTTTTCACTTAAAGCTTTGTGTCATTAGATTTCTACAATATAATTTTTAGGCTACTATGTTGGTATGTGTGTAAATAGAATACTATGATTTAATTAACCAATCTGTCAATTGTTGAATGTTTACTTCTACTTTTGTTTTTGGTACTGAGGATCAAGCTTAGGACCTTGCACTTGCAAGGCAGGTGTGGTGCCACTGAGCTAAGTCCCCAGCCCTACTTCTACATTTTATAAAAGTTATACATCCAGCTAGCCATGGTTGTATACACCTCTAATCCCAGCATTCTGGGAGGGTGAGGCTGAAGCATTGCAAGTTCAAGCCCAGCCCAGGGCACGTGGCTAGCTTGGCAAGACCCTGTCTCAAAATTACAATAAAGTAAAATAAAAAGAACTGGGCTGTAACTTATTGCAACAGCCCTGGGTCCAATCACTGGTACTATACTGCAAACATACACACACACACACACACACACACAATCACTGGTACTATACTGCAAACACACACACACACACACACACACACACACACACACACGGTCAGTTATGCCAAGAAATCTTTGTGCGTCCTTGGTTGTTTCTTTAGGGTAGATTTTTAGAGGTGTAATTTCTGAGTCAAAGCCATACCCAAGTTTTCAACATTTTGGTACATTATGCCAAATTTCTATCCCCAAAAGTTTACCAGTTTAGTATCCCTTTAGCAGTCCTTTTCATTTCCGAAATTAAAGATTGAGTATTTGATAGTTAGATCCCAGAAATTTGGCTAGCTGAGCAATCTCTCTCTGTCTGTCATATATATTATGCTTATGTGCCTGTATGTATAATGCGTGTATGTACAACTGATGATGTTTTAAAAATCACCCTTGGACCGGGGATTTAGCTCAATGGTGGTGTGCCTGTCTCGCAAGTGCAAGGTCCTGAGTTCAATCCCCAGGACTGGAAAAAAAAAAAAAATCACCCTAACAAAACATGAAAGAGAAAGTACTTCTTGCAACTTAGAAGTAGTTGTAGGTAACATCTAAACCATACTTCTGACATCAGAAGTATTGACTTTTGCTGTACGTAGGGACCAAATTCAATGGTAAACCTAAGAGCAAATAAAAATATTTTGAGACGGTGTCAAAACCAGAGCTGTTATTTCAGTTGGCTTGGTTAATTTAAACCAAGCTTCCTCAGCTAGGAATGACCTTGAATTTTTTCCAAAGAAAGTAACTTGTGTAGTCTTTTTTAAAATGTAAGCAAGATTTACCTTGGTAAGGTAGATTAGATGGGCTTCCCACATTTCCCTCTTGGGGAGGGGCTTGTTTGCCAGGCCAATCCAGGCACCGCAGACCTCACAGTGTATTGCTTTTGCAAATAGGATCTGCAAGCACAAGACCGGGCTCATCGCATTGGTCAACAGAACGAGGTCCGGGTGCTGAGACTCTGCACCGTGAACAGTGTGGAGGAAAAGATTCTCGCAGCTGCAAAATACAAGCTGAATGTGGATCAGAAAGTTATCCAGGCTGGCATGTTCGATCAGAAGTCTTCAAGCCATGAGCGGAGAGCATTTCTGCAGGCCATACTGGAGCACGAAGAGGAAAATGAGGTATTAGAGGAAGTTGAGTTTATGAAATCGAACAATGACCTGTTGTCTCTTTAGGATTAAGAATAAACTCTTTGTTCTTTAAAGAATTTCCTGGGCTGGTGTTAATTAAAATGAATAAATTAGCTGCTATCTTATTTCCCAAGCACAGAAAGCCACTGAAAGTTATCCAAATGAATGTCTTAAAAGCTAATGCCAGAGGGCCCTCCAGACTTGTCCTATGGATGCTTCCAGGGAGATACTGCCAACATGCACATTGTATTGTAAACGCTGCCTCCTGTAGGATTGCTGTGGAACTGCAGGGAGGATACTTGGCAGACAAAATCAGCCAGAGGAGACCAGACAAACCTGGAAATGTCCCACCTCACTTTCTTTTTCTTCCATCCTCCAGAGGCCTCTGTCTCTGCTGCCTTTGCTCAGAGTTGACAGCACTTCAGCACGTCTGTAGGATAAGCTTTCACAGCTCTCTTTAGCTCACTTAGCCATACTTGCACTTGGAAAGCCTGACCTTTATCTCCTTTTAAAATTTTTCTTTAAGAGCTGACCAAAGGGCTATAGATATATCTCAAAGATAGAGCATTTTGCCTTTCAAGCTTGAGACCCTAGGTTCCATCTTCAACACTGAAAAAAAAAATCTGGCCTAAAGTTGCAAAAACTTCAGGTTTAAAAGTCTCTATTTGCCAACTTGGTGTGAAGAGTATATTGACTATATTTCTTTTTAGGGAATCTTTAGATTTGTCATTTATATTTTTAAATTACCAACTTTACTGACTTTACACTAAATATTAATTTTAGGTCTAGGGATGTAACTCAGGGATAGAGTACGTGCCTAGTATGCCAGTGGCCCTAGGTTCTACACCAAAAAAACAAAACAAAACAAAACAAAAACCTAAAAATTGATATGAAATAGGTTTTAAAACATATTTATAGGGCCTGCAAAACTGTATAAAATACCAGCACCAAAACTCGATAGATGAACAAATTTGGTTTTGTATGCTCATGTTTATAAATTGAAGCATAATTTACATTAAATATTTACATGGAATACTATTTTCATTGCATATATTAGAGACAATTTGATTTTTTGTCTTTAAGTAGGATATGTGCTTTTGAAGTCTTCTGTAAATTAAGAACTGAATTCTAGGGCCGGGGATTTAGCTCAGTGGTTCCGGCACCTGCCTCACAAGCATAAGGACCCGAGTTTGATCCCTAGTACCAAAAAAATAAATAAATAAAAGAACTGAATTCTTTCTAAAAAATCTTACATAGTTTCCATTTTTGAAAAGAATCTAAATATGAAATAAAGCTTGATATTTTAGGGAATCCTAAAATGAATCCTTTTGCAAATCGAAGAGTACTTTGATATGATGGGTCCTAATTTGTCAGCTGTGTGTGTTTCATTAGTTATCTATTGAGTTTCATGAAAATGATGAAAAATACATACATACATGTACTCACACATAAACGCACATTTAAAGATTTTTGTGTCAAATAATTCACCATTTAGAGTCTTGAAGTTAAATCTTTGCTCCAGACTTAGCAGCAGGTTGTCAGGTGGTTTTGGTTGTCCTTTACACGATTTTTCCATGAGGCACTGTGATGAGCGCCCATCCTGTCACAAAGCAGATGTGAACAGAGCTGCCAGGAGTTCCCACTGCGTTTTTGCTCATTTGATTTTTGCAGGCCTTGTGAAAATACTGCCGGGCCTGGCTTAGATTGCGGTATGCAAGGAAGCTGGGGTTTTCTAGCCTTCCTAAGCCACAAGAAGATGCTGATCTGTCCCAGGCCTGGGGACCACCAGGTGGGGCCTGCTGTGGAATCTCATGCCAGCTGCTTCTAGCTGTGAGCAGCCCTGCTGGGGTTCCATGTTCCTTCCAGGGCACCAGTGTGTCAGACATGTTAGCACATTCTGGGTGGCCTGTGCCCCGATGTGAAACCAACCGGCGACACTGATAGGCTGCAGTCAGAGCTCTGGTCCTGACTCTCCCAGGCAGCAAAGTCTTCTGGCACCACAATTGGCACCCCATAAAGTACCAGGGCACAGAAAATCCAGGAAGATTTTATTGCAAACTGCCCAGGTGTTTGGTTCTCCAGGAGCTCAGGTCACGGTGGGTAGGTTTCCTATCAGCTTACAAAGAGAATCTTTTCCTCTTGGACATGGGGTCACCTAAGGACTCATCGTGCTGGGGATGAAAGAGTAGCATAGTTCTAGGAAGAGAGAAGGCAAAAGAGGACACCTGTTTACCTGAACATGCACTAACCAGATGCTTGGTACTGTCAGGTTTGACCCCACTCTTCATCTGAAATGTAATATTTAGACAAATTGACTCGAATCGATCTAGAGGTAAAGTAAAATAGAAAGTTTTTCAGCCGTAATTATTATCTTGAATCATAGGCTTTTTGCTTTATTGAATTGCATTCACTTCTAACACTTATTAAGTCCCTATAGTGCATTCAGATGTTATCTTGGGAACTGACATCGTCATCTCATTTAGGCTGCTAGTTCACTTATATTCTTTTTGTAAACACTTGCCTTGTTTTGAACATTTGATTTGTGTAATTGGATGTTTGAAGTTCTATGTTTTCCTCTTTCTCCCCTCTGCTGATACACTGATGTTCCCCAATTTGATTTTTAACAAGCCCACTCAGCATATGATAAAAATACTTGTGGAAAATAAGTCCTATACTATATGCCCAACTGTTAGAATCATTTTTTGTAAGTGTGTAAGTCATAGCATATCATTTCTGAGAAACTTAGAGCTGTTGGTTTCTGAGGAATTAGCAGAGAAATAATGTGCTTTAGTTTGACATAATATAAAGTGAAAATTTTAGCCCTTATGTAATTGCTTCCTCTACATCATTCAAATTATTTTAATTTAGTATAGTTTTGAGGGATTTTTGTATTTGATAGCTTTTGAATTGTCTTAACTACAGCCTTAACCCTTAGCAATAGTAGTACCTACTGAAATTGATTAAACATATCCTAAAGGTTACATGTTTAACACATATATATGATTTTCTGGTCTTCCACTGGGCTCAGTCACAGAGTTCCATATGTTCATATTCTTTGTAAGGCTTTGAAAAGAAGCATTAATATTTGGGATAAGGTCAGTGGCATTAAAAGAATTATCATTAAGTACTTTTTCCTGTGGATTTCTTTATTTAAGTCTTACATCCCCCCGTGAAGTGGATGTCACACCCACTTCACATATGAGGTCATTGAGGCCGGGAGATATTGAGTAACTTGTTATAAAAGTAACAGGATACAGATACACACCCAGGAGAACCAGTATTTCTTAGAGTACACTTCATTTCCTCCCTTTATAGATTTGGCTCTGTGAAGATGATGTGAAAAGCTTGCAAAATATGAATGACAAGTAATAAATTCAGGAACCCTTCTCTTTACTTTTTGGATTGAGAAATAGGACCCTTCTGGTGTGCAAGACAGATTCCCCTTCTGCATTTGTGCCACCCCTCAGCTGCCCAGCCCCTCTCCTAATGCCTGTTCAATCATTCTGTCTTTAACCCCAGGAAGAAGATGAAGTACCAGATGATGAGACTCTGAACCAAATGATTGCGCGGCGAGAAGAGGAGTTTGACCTTTTTATGGTAATGTTGCAGAAAATCATGACAACCTAACGCCTCCCTCCTCGGCTCCTTTTATCTGTTAACCAAGATGCTTGGAGCCTGTGTGCCCTGGCAGAACTTCAGTTGTGAAGCCTGTGCCTTCCTTTGGTTCAGGCTCTGCAAACTGGCTGGATTTAGCCTGCAGACATATTTTGTTTGGCCCACACAGCATTTGTTAAAATTTTGCATTTGTTGCCAACATGAAAAGAATCTTGAATTCTGGCTTCTTTTTAAAAAATGAGATTGGGCAGTATCAGTTGCAACACTCTGTATGGAAACAGTTGGCCAGAGCTGAGCAGCAGCTGTACCCTTGGGACAGGCCACGTGGTCCTATAGCCCCCACACCTAGACTGTCTAATCCCAGCCCAGTGTCATGCAGGAAACCTGTCCAACTCATGTAGGCATTTGAACACACAATTGGTCTAGCTGCCTCCTTCCTTGATGAAAGCAAATACACTCCATTTGTTGCTGAATGCCAGCTTGAGCAAATAGGAGCTTCAAGGTGCCTATCAAGAAAGGTGTAGCCATCATTTAAAGAGCAAAAGTACCTGGATTTTACTGGCACAAAGTAGGTGTAAAAGAACTTTGGCATTTAAGAAGTTAATACCCACTTTCAGCCTTGAAGTTCCATAATACATAGCACCTATAATTTTACTGAAACCTAAATTTTATTTATACGTATGGCCTGCTACAAACCAGGGTTCGAGGGGAGCAAGCTTGTTGGCAGGGAAGGCTGTGCAGCAGCCCACAGAGTGGCATTTACTACCTTCTTGCTCTTCTGTTTACTCTGTATCTTCACTGACCAGAACAGTCCTATGCATGTAGCTGTCACTTAATAGATATCTACTAAATGAATGGTGATACTGGCAAAATTTCAGACTTTTGTGAGGATGTCAGGATGGATTTGGATATGTAAAGTTAAGAGGTTCCCTCCAGAGCTTTCAGTCATTTTGATCTTTGTCAGAGACATTTAGCTTGATTGTGGAGGGACTGAATAAATGCAAACCATAGCTTTAGCCATGGAATGCTACAGAACCCTAAAATCAAAAGTCCTGAATTAGAACGCCCTTCAATCCCAGATAAGCAGTCTGTACAAACAAAGCAAGCAGAGAGGGTAAGTGGCTTGGAGATGCTGTGTCTGAGGACAGAGCTACAAGGTAGAAGTGTGAGAACCATGTAGCCAGAAATTATAACTTTGCAAGAGAAGTTGGAAATCTTCTTTTACATGCAATCTCAGGATTTCAGAATATTTGCAACTACATTCAGGGCTTTAAAAATTATTGTAACACTGTGGGCCAAGCAAAACACAACTGTAGCCCAAACATGACCCAGAGGGTTTGCAATTTCTACGTTTTTAGCCTGGACCATCTGAGTATGGAGCTATAGCTGTGTGGATGCTTATGGATTTTTGTCTGGGGAACACTGATTGTGTCCACGCATAATGATTCATGGTAAAAAGACCTTTAACTCTTTTTCAGGAAAACTGAGATAGCCATAGCAGTGACTCTTAGACTCCTAACGTGGGGCATGTAGTTCCCCTGTGCTCTCCCACCCTCCCCACAACAGCCACCTCACCAGGGCCAAGTCGTTTTGGAGAAAGGGCGAAAAGAAGACCTAGCCAACACAGGGTCTGCATACAACCCAAATTTCTTAGCTCCTACTGTCAGTCACCATCTTTATAGATTACTCTCTATTTAGGGAGGTTGGGGACACATGTTGGAAATAGACATCCTCCTCCTTGAGGAACTCATTCACATGTAGGTGGCATGTAGGCCAGAGGCCCTCAGCTTCCCTGACTGATCACTGATTGGCAGTAACTCAGCACTACTATGGCCTCAGATATTTTCAGGATGCAGGAGAAGATAAGCTGCCTGTCATTATGCAAATTAGACCAGGTCCAGAGTTGCAGAGTTCCATTGGCAGCCCTAAAATAAGGGAAAAAAGAATGTTTCTCCTTCCTTACTTTTGGGCTGGGTATTTGTAGAAATTGAAAAACCTCAGAAAAAAATATGAATGCCGCCCAAGGCAGAGTCTTCTTTTAACTTGGCAATATATTACCATGGGAAGAACAGGTGAGAATGGTTAGGGAACACATTTCTATAGGTATTTTGATTTTGTGAATCTTCATGCCTGTTTCTTAAAAGCTGGCTTCTGTTTTGGGGATTATGCAGATTTTTGTTTGGTTTAGTTTTGCAATACCCTCTAATCTACTGGCTGCCTTTGGCCAATTCACCATTCATTAGCACCTCCACCAGAGGGCAAGAAATAAATTTTGAATTCTTGCCAGCTACTCATTAAAAAGTTTACTGAGAAACAAGAATGGAATGTGAGCTAGAATAAGTCTGTGGGTTTCAAATACTTAAACTCTTTATCAATTATTAGAAAAGAATTCATTCTCTATAAAATTAATATAATCATAGACACTATAAACAAGATAAGTAGAAAATTGCTTGAAAATAAAACCTTCCTTTTAAGCTTTTGTATTGCCTTTTCCGTCTAAAAATATGATTTCAGAAAGTTACTTTATCTATTGGTTACTTGTGAGTTTTACCTAAAAATGTTGACAGCCCAAGATACATATCTGAAACATTTTGCTAACATACAAACATTAGGCTTTTAGATACTGTGTTCTTTACAAAAGCAAGAAATAATTTTTAAAATTATTATACTTGTAAATACAAGGTTTATAATTAGGTCTCAAGATAAATATATTTACGTAATAACTAAGAAGTTATCCTTTTCTTCCAGTATTAAGATTTGTACCAGTTTGGTGCAAGTAGAATCTCTGGGGAGAGGTACTTTATTAGGACTTTAAACTTATATAATTGCATCTACCTTTCCAAAAGGAAAAAAAACCCCACACACAAATGTTTAATTTCCTCTTTGTATCAGAAATATTTATTCTCTCAATTTTTATTTAACTTAAGTAGTTTTACAGGGTTTGGTATAGATAATGGCACTGTAGCAATATTTTTAAAAACGAGTGGAAATATTTTGTCATGTGAGTGTAGGGCCTTAACAAAACATTTTTATTATTATCTAATAAGAGTTAGGAAGTTGCTTTAAGTAGCCCCTCTTTAGATCCTGCTACAAATGAACTATCTTTCACGTGCTCATTCTGAGGGTTTGGTTGATCCCATTTCTGATACTGAAGCATTAGAAGGCAGGATTAAGCAGAGCATTTCGAGCTAAGTATAACCCATGACAGAGCAGAATGGCCACATTTATCTGCCAATGGGACTTCACTGCCCGTGCCTACCCCATCCTGGAAGTTTGATTGTCAAAAATGTTGAAGTATACTTTAAGGAGCTTTGACCTTTAATTTTTACATAGATCCTAGCGGTCATATTTGGGTTCGAGTAGCAGATATTTCATTTTTAGCTTTAGTTGTAGCTTTTTAAAAACAAAAAATATCAAATCCCTGTTTCAGTACGGTAGAACCGAAGAAGAGGGAAAAGGTAAATAATTTAATGATTAATGGTCTCTTTGGTTGTGGAAATTATATCTCTAGCTAGTGATATATGTCATGTATTTAGAATTTCAGTGGTGGTTTTGTTCTTTTTTATTTCTCAGATTATTTAGTTATAGTTTAAAGCCAAGTATATTTAACTCAGTTTATTTAAAAATGAACTGGATTTTTCAAAGGAGAGCAGAGTGGGAATGTGGACATTGTGAAGGCTCAAAGAAAGCCATTTCGCATATAACTTGGTCAGTTAAGATTACCTCTGAGATCTGTTTCTCTGTGTTGTAATATTTTCATAAGAGCTAACCTTGTGAAAAGGAAAGAACTGAGGCGTGTTCTCACAATGTCCATGTTGTGTTGAAAATTCAGTCCATTCACAGCAACTGACTAAGCAAACCCTTTGTGTCCCTCCACCCACCCAGCTGGGAGTGGCTGTTTTGTGGTGATACCTTGGCTCACTTTTTCCCACTTTACTGCTTAATTACAAGAATGATGGGCCAGGGATTTAGCTTAGTGGTTTTGCCACCTGCCGTGCAAGCACAAGGACCCGAGTTCGATCCCTAGTACCAAAAAAAAAAAAAAAATTAGAAGCATGAACCCTCTTGAACAAAAGGAAATATATTCTTAATAAATTTTCTCTTTTATGTGGTCAACTCATTTCTTCCAGGAAATCAACAAATCATAAATTTTAAAATGCATCCCCACCTTGAATTTTCTCACTAACACCTAAGGGGATACTTTGCACAAACATAAGGAATTCCTGAAGGGTACTTTTAAATGCATAAATAAATTTAAAAGATTGGTACAGAGGAAAGGAAGGGGTTTTTCTTTGAGGAATCTTTCTTTAGACCCTGCTAGAACCAGAATAAGAGACCAAAGGGGACCCTGCAGCCATCTAGGAGGGCTTGTGAAAGTTGTAGGTACTGTAAGTTCTGAACCCCGTTCATTTCTCTTCGGTGATACTTGTGTGCATTCTCTAGCGAATGGACATGGACCGGCGGAGAGAAGATGCCCGGAATCCCAAGCGCAAGCCTCGCTTAATGGAGGAAGATGAGCTGCCCTCCTGGATTATTAAGGATGATGCTGAAGTGGAAAGGCTCACGTGTGAGGAGGAGGAAGAGAAAATCTTTGGTAGGGGGTCTCGTCAGCGCCGCGATGTGGACTACAGCGATGCCCTCACGGAGAAGCAGTGGCTCAGGGTAGGTGTGGCTTTTTTTGGACCGTCCATTGGTGGTTGGAATGTTTTTGGTGGCTTGGAGAAATCAAGAGCTTAAAACTGGAGTCTTGTGAGAGCTTCGAGTTGTCAATCAAATGGCAATGGATTCTTGAGGATAGAAGATAAAGTCATTCTGCTGGTGTAGAGGACTCATGCTATGTTTCAAGGCAGTGCTTGGAACAAAAATATATCGAAGTCTTTTTTTTTTTCTAGAGCAGAATAAGCCGTGGAAGCACAGGATTATTAGAGCTGTGACTGCCACTAATATTTTATTGCCTGGTCATGCCTCACTCTGTCAAACTGAGAATTGCAATGTGCAAGGGGACCTTAGAGATCTTTTTAATTGTTCCCCCTTATTACATGGTCTTTAATTGAAGTTTTATTTCTACAAGGCCTGAAGAGACAGTTCAGGGACAGCACTGCTTTCTAATTGAGTTATTTCATAGACCTATAACACATTTAGATATGGAAAATGCCTTTGTACTGTCTTGGTTTAGTGAAAAAAATGAAGCTCAGAGAGGTTATGTGAGTAGTCAGGACAGAGTTGGGCAGAATTAACAGAATCACCAGTGCATTTGCAAAGTCAGTTTTGGCTTCATCTGACCTGCCTATCACAAACACGTGGTATGGAGCCTGGGACTTGAATCACTGGTGGCTGGAAATATTTTTCTAGTTTGTTTGTTTGTTTGTGTTTTTTCCTTCCAAAAAATGATGATTTCTCACCTTGACCACAGTGAAATTTCACAGTGTTCCTTGTAAAACATACAGATACCAAGTGTTCATGGCAACCATGAGTATGGATATCAAGGGCATGTGATTCTTCCTTTTGAAGGTTTAGCTCTGCTTCTTTTATTGGGAGCAGACTTAATACTTTGACAGGCAGAGCAACCTGGGACACGCATTCCAGACAGGACCAGTTAATGCATGCTGAAAATAGCAAGTATGGTTGGGTAAAAACCAAACAAAATAGAAGAAATTGTTGGCAGTTGTTCATTTTCTCCAAAGGGAATATAATTCCCAAGCTTTGTAAGATGAGGGTTTAGGACCCAGGGCATAACTAGGTAGGTGCATGGAAAGCCAATGAAAAGGATTTTGAGATTGGATATCAAAGGCAGATGGGGCTTGGTACCACTTGAGATGTGATTTACTCAGGATGTTATATGATGAGAGGGATGTGACTTGAATTATGGAAGGATTGAATTCTGTGGGATTCTGAAAAGAGAGACTAGCAAAGCATTGTTCATATTTAGGGTTGAACAGTTGCATATAAAATGTAATATTTGTGTGATGGTGTCCCTGTCATAGCCAGTCATGTATTCTAGTGGCCTCAGAATACAAGGAATAATCAAAATATAAGGGGAACATTTAAATTTTTAAAAATTTATTACAGTAAAAGACACATTACCATTAATCCCCCTCATGTATTCTCCCTCACTTCAAACACACTTATCCCACCTTTCTTGCCATTTTCTGAAAGAGTTTTGGAAGTCCTCCTTTGAGCCTGTATGAGGTATATGGTAAATACATCCAGTGAAAAGGGAGGCATATAAAAACATTACGGTGCCCTTATCCACCTTATTCACTGAATCTGGCACCATTCAACTTCTGGTTCTTCCCAAATCTCAAAATGACCGTGAAAGATAAATGTTTTAAATTGATTCAGGATATCGAGGCAGCCATGAGAATGCAACTAAAGACACTCACAAAAGAGGAATTTCAGAACTACTTGAGAAAGTAGCAAGAATGATGGGACAAATGTGTTTAAAGTGAAGGGGAGTATTTTCAGGGGGATTAATGGCAATGTTCCTTTTACTGTAATAATTGTATAAAAATATTTAAACATTCGCTGAAATTTTTTATCACACCTCATAGGGTTCTATGGATTTTTCTTTTTTCACTATTGAGGTTATATAGTGCTTGTATAATTAAAGTCTGTTCTGTAATGTGAGGAGAGGTTTTTTTTGTCAGTTTAATATTCATTTCTGACCTCAAAAAAGTTCTATTCTGTTTCTGTTTCACTGAAGCAATAAATTGAGTACCTGGAATGTTATTACAAGGGATGAAACAACCATAATTTAGGTCAGTGATGGCAAACCTTTCAGCGCTTTCAGTGATAACAAACAACCCATTGTGGCACCAATGCTGGACTAGACCAAAGTTTTAAAATCAGTTTTTTTTTTTATATGAATAATCTGTGGACATTACAAGCAAAACAACCCTCACCACTAGGCGAGAATGCGCTGACCTTTTTTTTTCTTAGTAATTGTTGAGAATTGCTCTTCAGAAAAAGAACATGAATCTTAAGAAGTTTTCATATTTTGAGATACTTTATTTCTTTTCTTCTTTTTTATTCAGCTTATACTGCTGATGACTAGCACAGTGCTTCAGTGAATGCTTGTGAAAATGAAAGTATAATTTGGAAAGTAGAAAGTTAATTTACCAGTAATATTCGCATGGCATTTCTCTCCCTGGTGTATCTAGTAGACTTTTTATACACAGCAGGCACATCTAAAAATGGAGAACTAGTTTGTTATAAAACTGTGCTGTGAAATTGATGTTTATAAATTTAACCCTAACGTGTCTTGCAGCATACCAAGTCATCCAAAAAGCCAAAACTGTTCTCCGCACAGCTTTACTGTTTCTGTATTGTCTTTCTAATTGAATCTCCTGAAAACTGTATGCCCATATTTCGTGAGAGTGGGCAATTGGCTGTTAACCAGGACATGTGATTAATACAGATGCGCATTGGCCTAACCACTCAGGATAGATGCTTCCTGTCCTCTGTGGTCTTGTTCACCAGCAGAAATCCCGTTTAATATCAGCCTGTTAAGTTTTCGCTGAAGTAACTGTGGAATTCAAGGGTTCTCATAGGCTGGATGCTGAGATTTTTCTCTCCTGGCTGGTGATTGAACATATTGAGTGAACCCAGTCAACATGCCAGCCTCGAAAGGAGGGTAGACAGGGACGGTTCTGTAAAAAGTGCTGGAATGGGGCTAAAATAATTCTTCTTTTTCCTGGCAATGTTCTTCAAAGCCTGCTAGAATGAAGCTTTGAAGACACGGAATCCCAGAATTAGAAGGCAGCTGAATGGAGCAGCTACCATCCGTGCTTACATCACGCTCTTTTGCAGTCCCCATACCAACAAGCTGGCTGTCCTTCCGAGGAAGCATACTATGTTTTCGTCTGCATAGCCCCTCTGGTTCATGGTCAGCCTGGATTGTTAGTTCTTTTTCCCTTTGGACTGAATTTTCTTTCCCAATAGCTCTTCCTCACTGGCCTCATTTCTATTCCCTGGGATGAATAGAATAATGTGCCCCCTGTCTTCAGTTAACATCACAGCCCCTTGGTTAAAATGTTTGAGGACTCGTCACAGTGGGGGGCGAACTTCCCTACCCTCCTCTTTATGAACATTCCTCATCCTTCAAGGCCCTGTTCATTTGCTCCCTCCATCCATGGGGCCTACTCAGATAAATAGGAATTGCCCTTTCCACTGTGTTGTCATGTTTCTTTGCTGGTCCTTCCATCACAACTCATTTCCAGTTTCCTAATATTCTGGGTCATTTCCAACCTGTCTGATTTCTTGAATAGCTCGTATGCTGTATCTTTATCTTGATACAATTGAGGACTTCCCTGGGAGAATAACAAGTGTACTCTGATTGCCACATTGTTCTACTAGGTTGATGTGTGAGAGTACAGACAAGGGGATAATGTTCCCAGCTACACCTCATGCACATAAACATGTACATTTTTAAAATTAAAAAACAAAAATGTATTTCTCACTCTCACAAAAGTCCAGATGTCTTCCCCACTGGTGAGGATGTTTGTTCTCCAGGGGGTGATTCAGGAATCCAGCCTCTGTAGCTTGGTCATCTCCATTCTCATGAGCTGGAAGTAGGGAAAGCACATGGGTGAGGAGGATGTAGAGTTCCAACTGGCTGTGCCTGGATGTTCATACATCACTTCCACTCACATTCCATTGGCTAGAACCTGGTCATGTGGCTTCTCCAGCCACCAAGGAGGCTGGGAAGTGTGGTCTGGTTGTGAACCCAGGAAAGCCATATTTTAGACAATAGCTAGCAATCTCTGCCTCAGCACATTTAGGTTAAGTTTAAGTGATATTGCTGCTTTACTTTAAAAATATATTACATGGGCTGGGGATTTAGCTCAGTAGTTTAGCTGCCTGCTGCACAAGCGCAAGGACCCAAGTTTGATCCCCAGTACCAAAAAAAAAAAATATGTTACAGTTTCATCACAAACGAGTTTTATTCTGCAATCATACTATGCTAAAAAGAAATTCCCACAGTGTCCTTGAGAGAATCTGTTTGGATGGAGGATTGTTAAAAAAAATTTTTTTTTGTATTCATTAAGCTGGATCACAATTTCAAACACAGCTCAGTTTTTTAAAAGGAAATATTTTATGTTGCTTTGAAATCCTTGTTACCACTGAAACGTAAATGGGACCCTCATCCCATCTTCTTTCCCAAAGTGGTCTGGATATAGGAGGAAGCTGGTGTTTCAGCATGACCTTGGCAGCAGATGCCCTCGTTCTCCTCCTACCCTCTGGCTCTCTGTGGACCTCAGTGCAGCTCTGCTGGTCCGCTCCTGTCCCAGGAGGACATGACAAGCTGTTTTCGTCTCATGTTCTTGGAGACTTTGATGATATGTGCTCTTGAAGGCTTGGGTTCCCGGTCACCATCTCTAGCCAGAAGCTATCAGTCATTCTGGCATGTCACTGGGACTCCTGGTTTCTTTGGTCTCAGCTCTCAGGCCTTTTGTGACCTGTTTGGGAATCTATAAACTCTGGGTTGCTTCCTCCACACTGTTACTAGAACACTTGGGATGCAGTGACATTGGCCCCTTCCACAATAGCAGCTAAGTCACCCCCAAGAGTTTATCAAGGCCGAAGTTCCTAAAATCTAATGATTGGGTAGATTCAGGAACATTTCATTGCAAGCAATCCGAATGTCGTATGTTTACAAATTT